CCTTACTGTTCATGAGATCCCCAATGAGTTTTTTTGACAGTACTGGGGTTTTGAACTCAGGGCCTCGAGCTTGCAAGGTGGGCATTGTGCCACACCCCCAGCACATTTTTTCAGGTAGGGTCTGGTGTTTTTCCCAGGGTCAGCCTCATACTGAGCTCCTCCTGTGACCTGCCTCACAGCTGGACCACAGGTGCATACACACTGGGTTTATTGATTGAGATGAGGGTCTCTGTAACTTTTGGCCCAGACTGGCCTTGAACTGTAATCCTCTTGATCTTCGCCTCTCAAGTAGCTGGGATTACAGGTGTGAGCCACCACACCCAGCTTCTCTTCACTCTTTTGAGCAGGATCTCATTATATAACCAAGGCTAGCCTTGAATTCACCACTCTCATGCCTCAGCCTTCCAGGTGCTGAGATTACAGGTACATTGCCACCATACCTGGTACAATGATATTTTCTGTTCTTATTTCTATTTATTCTTGTATGCCAGTTTCAACCCAATTAATTTTAAGAACCACCAGTTAAGTTATGACCCACATGCTAAGGATTCTTGAAGCTAAAAAATACATAATGACACATTTTTCTGAAGCATTAGTTTTACTCAAAAGTAAAGAAAAACATGTTTTCATACTAAAACATAACTGAATATACTATGGAGTTTACTGCATAGAATTTTTAAGTAATTTTGTCCTTAATGATAGGCTAATTCATATTAAGCTGCTAATCCTGACCCTTCCACTACTTAGGAACCTTTATACTAAATTCACATCTTCTCTAAACCCAAATGGAATCAAAAACCTTGAGTACTGTCTTTTAAAATCATTTTGCTAGGGGCATGGCTTAAGCAATAGAGCACCTGCATAGCACATGCAAGGCCCCCAGTTTAAACTCCAGTAGCACCAAAAAAAAAAAAAAAAAAAACCAAAAAGTAAAATCATTCTTTTTTTTGGCAATACTGGGGTTTGAACTCAGGGCCTCATGCTTGCTAGGAGCTTTACTACTTGAGCCACTCTACCAGCCCTGTTTAGTGTTGGGTATTTTTAAGATAGGGTCTCAAGAACTATTGCCCAGGGTTGGCTTTGACCCATGATCCTCCTGACCTCTGCCTCCTGAGTAACTAGGATTACAGGCATGAACCACCACACCCAGCTAAAATCATTCTTATTTAGCCAAACATGGTGACTCACGCCTGTAATTCCAGATACTCAGAAGAGGGAGATTGGAAGGATGTGGTTCAAGGCCAGCTTGGGCAAAAAGTTAGCTAAACTCCCCATCTCAACAAATAAGCCAGACATGGTGATTTATGTCTATGATCTTAGCTACGTAGAAGGCTATAGGTAGGAGTATCATGATCCAAGGCTGGCCCAGGACAAAAATAACTCAAAACCCTATCTGAATAATAAAGCAAAAAGGGCTGGAGGGATGGTTCAAGTGGTAACATGCCTCCCTAGCAAGCTGAGGCCCTGAGTTCAAACCCCAATACTTTGTGCCAGGCACTATACTAGAAATCAAGAATCCAAAAGACAAAAGACAAAAAAGTTCTACGGCATGAACTTTATATTCCACTAAAGATAGGCTGTGTTGTATTGGGACCAGCAGTAAAGCCAACAAATAAGTAAAACAAAAATTGTATATGGGTCAGTAGTGAGGACAGTGGGAAAAAATAAAACAAGAATTGGGGTATGGAGTCCTGGGGTTGGAGGGTTGTGATGCAATTTTATAAATATATTGGTTGTAGAAGACCTATGTAAGAAGATAAAATTTGATTAAAACGAAGACCTTAAGGAGGTATGGAATGAGCCGTGCAGATTTCTGGAGGAAGAGCATGCCAAACAGAAGAAGCATCAAATACAAAAAGCTGTGAAGTAGGAACATGCCTGGGATGTGCAAGGAATGGCATTCTTCTGTGGCTGGCATGACTAGAAAGGGGGAGAGTAGCAGCACATGACATGCAGAGGTAGTGGGGTCAGAGTATAGGCAATTGTAACTTTAGCTTTATTCTGAGTGAGATGCGAAGTCATTGGAGGTTTGAGCAAAGAAGCATTTATGAGCTGACCTACATTTCAAGATCATTCTGTCTGCTGTGTTGAGAAGAGACTGACGAAGCTAGGTGTTGTGAAGGGGAAGTTCCAGGGAGATGGGTGGAGACAAATGCAGAAGTAGGGAAACATTAAAAGGCTTTGCTATGCCTGGTATGTAGGAGCACATCTGTAATACCAGCAGTGGAGGCTGGCGTATGAGTATGGAGAGTTTAAGGCCAACCTGAGCTACTTACTAAGATCCTCTCTTTAAAAAAAAAAAAAAAAAAAAAAAACAAAAACTTTGCTGTATTCCATTTACTAAGTTTGAAATGACAGCCTGAAGCCAGGCTTGGTGACATACATCTTTAATTTCTACTCTCAGAAGACTGTGGCAAGAAGATTGAGATTTCCAAGGCCAGCCTGGGCTACATTAGCAAAACCCTGTGTCAGAAAACCAAGGGCTAGCTGGGCACTGGTGGCTCATGCCTGTAATCCTAGCTACTCAGGAGGCAGAAATCAGGAGGATCGTGGCTCGAAGCCAGCCCCCAGAAAATAGTTCATGAAAAAACCCATCACAAAGTGCTCAAGTGGTAAGAGCACCTGCCTAGCATGTGGAGGCCCTGAGTTCAAACCCTAGTGCCGCCAAAAGATAAAAAGGACTGGGGATGTAGCTCAGTGGTAGAGCACTTGTATAGCATACACAACACTCTGGATTCCTGGATTCTATCCCCAGCACTGCAAAAAGAAAGGAAAAAGATAAAAAAAAGAACAGAGGGAAAACAAGAGGGAAGAGAGATCAAGAGTTTGGGGACTGGCTGGTGGAATAGCTCAAGCAGTAGAGTGCCTGCTTAGCAAATGGGAGGCTTTAATTGGAGTAGTGATCTCCTCAGAAGAGCAGGTATTATGGGTTCCTTCAGATTTCTTAGAAAACATTGTTTTACATTAATTGCTTATCTGATTGGTATCCCTAGGTACTTTTTCCATAGTACCCATGCCAGGTCCCAGATATAGAGATTGTGATTCTTTCATGCAGAGTGGGTCCCTGACATCTGTTTTGAAAAACCTTTCTAGGTGATTCTGATGTGTCTATGGTTAAGAACCACTATCTCCTGAGGAGACAAGGATTATATTTTCTGTATCTTTCCTTATATCTCAAATGCTGGGAACTTATTACACATTAATAAATATTTAAATTGATGACACATTGGAAGATATGATAGTCACTTGAATCTCACATGAAACCTTAATGTGAACCACCGATAGTCCACCCCATCTCCCCAGTTTTCATTTGTAAATGTCCTACACTATCTTGAGATCTTCTTCATGCCCTAATTTGAAGTAAGAGTTCTCCTTTTCCCCGATTCACCTGCTGAGTACAGATGACTTAGAAAATACCTCTTTCCTAGAAGCCCATAGTTATATAAATCTTTGAAAGTGGTCCTAGTGTACCTTGAAGAATTTCTGAAGTTCCTCTTTCCTGTCAGTAGATACTCTGCCTTAACTCATCAGGCTCAGTCTTTCTGAGAGTCCTGCTATCGCAGTGTTTGGGTATCAGGCTACGTGATCCAGGTCACAGACTCATAGTCTTGGTAATTGAAAGATTAAAAGCACAAGTTACAAGAAAGTAATTGGAGGAGTTCTTCTGGGAGAGACCAGAAAGACTGTCAGGGAAACATAATCAGACAGTTATCAGACAGAGGAGGAAGAAAAGGTATTATTTAAGGTCAGGAAGATGAGTTGATAACACAAATAAAAGGACTACAAGTACTTTATGAAGATATTTGAATTTCATAGCCAAAATTTTGATGAATAAGTGGGTGTGCATTCGAAGTATAGACATTTGCTATAAAAGGGAGGAGGGAAAATAATGGTACTAGGCAAGCACTTTTTTCCCCCTGTATTTTTTTAGAGAAAAATGAGAAAGAAATGGACATGGCTACTAATCACAGACTTGCCCAGAGAAATATTTTTTTGTAGTGCCGAGAGCATAGGTAGGAAAGTCACTAATGACAGAACCAGTGGGAGGTGATGGTTTAAAGCAATTCTCCTCTCTCTTCTTACTGTATCTGGGTCTTATAATCAGTGAAATCTGCGTATTCCTGAATGTATACACCAATCAGTATTGTCCCAAGTAAAGCTAACGCTACCTAGTGAAGGTTTTTCAAAAAAGCAGAATGCTCTGAATTGAACAAACCATGATAAATCACAACCCGGAAGTTTGTATTGTGGTAAGAAAACTCATTTCTTTGCTTGCTTAAAAGCTTTTCCTTATTATCATCACGTTTACCAGTGTTTGATCCATCAAACTTTTTCCTACAATACAACCTAGGAAACAATGTTTTATAAAAGAAACAACTTTAAAACCCATTATCTTTATAAAAAAAAAAAAATACGGCAAAAGGCAGTATAGTATGGTCTCTAGTTTTTGTAGAGGAAAAAAAAGAATTAAGATTTAGGGCCAGACAAATTTGAGTTTGAATCCCGATCTTCCATGTAGTTAGTCTGTGTGCTCTGTGACTTAGGATAATACTTTTGTCTTTCTGAACCTCAGTTTCCTCATCTGTAAAATGAGAGGGGAATGATACCTACTTTGTTTAGGGTACTTGCAAAGAGGATTAGAAATAATTTCCTTAGTAGGTATTTAGTAAGTGGTAGTGGCTACTGTTAATAATCATAGAAACTGTCAATTTAAAAAATCAATATAGGAACAAAAAATACCTGAACAGATTATTCTGTATGTGGAAACTGTGCCATGAAGACAGCCCTCCTGGAAAGAGGTAAAGTAGTATGTAGTCACAGTTCTGACAGTGGAGTGAATAAGGATGTGGTTTTATAGTATATGGGCTACTGTGTCTTGATTTGGGGAGGCCCACACTGTCTGAAATAGGGAGGAAGATTTCTAGACACACACCTGTTCTTTCCCTTTTACCTAGCCTCCCCATTGATGTCCTCATTTTCCTTTATTGCTTTCCTGGCAGGTGGCTGTTAAAAACAATATTGATGTCTTCTACTTCAGCTGCCTCATCCCACTCAATGTGCTTTTTGTAGAAGATGGCAAAATGGGTAAGTATGTCCTCCTGTCCTTCTGCTAAATATACCTTTGTCTTTCCTCTGAATGTCAGGAATAGCGTAACCTCAGAAGAACAAGTTGTTTTGAGTTTTTTTTAAGGGGGTAAAGATATTCAAGCCCTGATAATTGCCCATTATTTATTTACCAGAGTAAATTGTGCTTGCTTTGCCATTGGTCTCTAAATCACAATGCCCATTGTCTGAATGATCCAGTCATGTCAAGACACAGAGTAAGAGGTTTAGTAACAAACCTGTGAATTGAACCTTTGCCATTTATTTAGCTGTGTAATCACAAGTGAGATGCTTAGCTCTTGGTGGTACTAGGGTTTGAACTCAGGGCTTCGTGTTTGCTAAGCAGGCACTCTACCACTTAAGCCATGCCCCTGGCCCAATGCTTAGTTTTTCTGTTTCATTTTCCAAGTTTGCTAAATGGGAATAGTTTTATAATGACTTAATGACGTATTATGTGTAAATTTAGCACTTAGCCCTGTACTGAGTTCATGCTGCCTCAAAACAAGAATTTAGTAATTTATAATAAACCATTAGAACTCCCTGCACCCATGTGGTTATTGTCATTTCTCTCTTCCTTTACTTATGAAACTGCCATCCAGTAACTAGATTATATTGGTACAAAGAAAATTGTAATGGCACTTAACTGATTTGATTCTCACAGTGGCTGTTTGGATAGCCAGGACAAATGTAATTTTATGTGAAGAAATGAATGCTTAGAAAGGTCACAAGACTTGCCCATAGTCACCCAAATAGAAAAACAAGGAAGTCTTAACTAAACTCTGAATATACACTCTTTTCCAATGTATGTTAGTACTACTGATAAGGAGTTAATTGGCCTGGAGCATATAGCACCCCTGTATAGCTGAGTAGCTTTATTATAAGAGCCAGCATGCCAAAGGAGAAATTGTGGAAGGCATCAGAAACCAGAATACTGACAGATTGTACATATGCACCCTTCCCCTCTGCTTCCTCATACAGAGCGCCAGGTCTTCCTTGCAACATGGAAAGATATTCCTAATGAAAATGAACTTCAGTTTCAGATTAAGGAATGTCATTTAAATGCTGGTGAGTAATAACTTTAAGTTTCATTTTCATCTTAGTAAATCAAATGAGATAGTTGAGTTTTTATCTTTCCTTTACCTACCCCTTCTTCCTCATCTACCATGTTTCTGGTGGGTGTGTGTTAGAAACATTATTTTGCAAACTTCTCTTTAAAAACTTGGGATATTAGTCACAAATGCTAGTGCATGTCTATAAATCCCAACACTCAGGAGGCTGAGGTAGGAGGATTGAGTGGGTAGAAGCCAGTGTGGGCTACGCAGTAAGACCCTGTCTAAAAAATCAAAGCTTGGGATATCTTAATGTATGTTAATGTGTGGTACTAGATGACTTGCAAGCTAACAGATTTAAGAAACAAACTAGAATCTGTGTATCTAGTTCTTCAGTAGTTGAAGATGTACGTGTTGGTCATATTACTTCAACATCCCCAAGCATCAAGTGGCACTTATGGATATATACATTCTCCTAAGAATTAAAACATTTTATCTTTTATATCACCTTTTAGTATTGGAGAAAAGGTGGCTGGCTTTCTGAGATCCTGTATCTAGAATATTATTTGTAATTAAAGATTGCATCATGGTTGACTAAAGGTAGCTGATAATCTTTTTCTTTAATGCCTGTGTCAGCTTTCATATAATGATGCTAACCTTCTTAATCGCCATTAATTCCCAAACCTTTTGTATTAATTTTATTACTATTATAAAACATAACAAAAGGGTAGCCCAAGAGGAGGAACAACAGCAGCTGTCAGTCCCTGGGGCTTTGTCACTGGAATATTCAGTGTTCAGAATCTTGTCCTTTGTACCAGCCTCCTTTTTATTTCCCCCTCTCTCTAAGGCTACACACAAGACTTATGAGTTTGGATGAAAGTGAACTTTGGTGTTTGATCAGGACCTCTCTTTCCTAATTTACCCATCATTTCCTCCTCCCGAATTGGTGGTCCTCTTTGGAGGTTTCCAGCACACTGCCATCCTCCAGCACTGTGGTTGGAACAGAGCATTGGGGAAAAGAGGCAAAATGGCAGTAAAGAAAGAAATTAAAAAAAAAACACTGCCTTCTCATTCCAGCGTTTTTTGAGTCTCTGTGTTGTATTTGTCTTCTGTATTCAGACACATCTTATCATAGAAAGTTTTTGAAGTCCAGCTAGAAAGTGATCAGCTTCTTCCTGTGATGCCCCTTTAAATGTACTGATCCAGTAGGACCTGTCTGAGACATTCAGGAGGCTGAAGCCCAGCTTGAACCTCAGAAATAAAAGACGGACAAATTGGCATCCTTTGAGTATAGAAACTTGAGACAAGCTTGCCACTGCTAAGGGAGAGGTGTTTGAGAAAAGAGTCTTCGGTGATTTCTTTTGTAATAACTAGTTAGCTGATTCTTTTCATGTTGTACCTTACTCTAAGTCGATGACAGTATTATCTGTTCCTCTTTCTGAGGACCACTGGTCAGTAACTGTGAACCTCATTTGGTAAGCACAGGAGCTTGAGCATCTTCCCAGAGAATAAGCTACTACTAAGGAGGCTCTGGATACAGAATCCACAGGGGCTGGTGGTAAAAACCAGAGTGGATCCCGTTAAGAGAAGCAGCCTTTGTATTCCACCTGGTAGGGACCAGGCTCTGGGTTAACCATCATCCTTTTGACAGTTGGTCTGATAGCAGTATTTAGTGTATTTCTTAGAACACTAGTCCCTAAAAAAGGGGAGCACTCTATGGTCATAGTTAGAAAATACAACATATTTTCTCTTAGAAGTTCCCATGGATTGGGCACTGGCTCATGCCTGTAATCCTATCTACTTGGGAGACAAAGATCAGGATGATCTCAGTTCAAGGACAGCCAGACAAATAGTTCAAGAGACCCTATCTCAAAAATATCCAACACAAAAAAGGGCTGCTGAAATAGCTCAAGTGGTAGAGTGCCTGCCTAGCAAGCATGAGGCCCTAGTACTGTCAAATATAAATAAGTATATATGTGTGTATGTATTTTTAAATATATGTATATTTAAAAATCACAAGTACTTATTAACACCCTGTGGAATACCATTGTTCCTTGAACGTAGTATTTGGGAAACCCTGGCCTATGTAGAGAGCAGAGAAAGGCCAGGGTAATTGGAAAGCAGGTTTGGTTTGAGAGAGCTAGTGTAAAAGGAACATGATTTTTCATAAAAGAAGATGGAACTTTGGACCAGGCATGATGATACATGCCTGTAATCCCAGCATTTTGAAGACTGAAGCGGGAGGATTGCAAGTTTGAGGCCAGCCTGGGCTACATAGGAGGACACAAGACCCTATCTCAAAAAAAAAAGAAGTTTTGGTGATTGAGGACTTTAGTCTGGCCTGCCAAAATAATAGAAGGAAAAGATCCTGTTTCTAGATTAGAGTTTTGAACCCTTATTGCACCTTGATGTATGTGATCTTCCGAAGAAGAAAATATCTGGCATTTCTCCCAGTGACACTATATCTTCTGATGTCGTCCTTATAGCAGATACAGTTTTGATCAATTCTGCCATGGGCCCAATGCCAATCACTTCTGCCTCAGGCTCTCTAAATACAGCAAATCAGTTTTGTAGTGATATACCATTCTTTGACAGTAAAGCCCATGGAACATAGGGAAAAATAGCCAATTCATTTTCTTCAGGAAGCCAAGGCCATCATTTTCCCGATTTAAATCACTGTTAACCTTGCAAGACCTGAAACTTCCTGAAACTAATCCTTCTAACTCTTCTCTTGGCTCCACCCTGAGGTCTGGAATGCCCTGGGCTTTTACATTTCCTGCTAGTCTTAAGGGCTTTATTAACTGAAGTGTTAGCAGGTTTTGTGCCTTCTGATTCAACACTCTGTGTCTAGCTGAGAGCTAAAAATACCATCCTTTCTAGCTGATCTGCCCTAATCACAATAGCACCAACACTTAAAATAGCTTTTCTGTGCTAGCGTAGACATCTGACAGATGGAACAAACACGGAGGGCTGCAGAAAGTCACAGCCTTATAGGACTTACCAACCTAGCACTGCGCTGTTACTTTTGCTCTTTCATTTCTTTCTAGAGAAAAAAGAAAGCGTCTTCCCAAATCTTAATAATTAGTCAGATCTGAATAGAAAGGTGTGTATGATGGGAGTACTTATGATGCCACTAGAAAATTTTAGGTAAGAAGATGTTGAGCCTCATGGTGCATGTCCATAGTCCCAACTACTTGGGAGGCAGAAGTAGGAAGCCAGCTGGGGCAAAGGTAGCAATGAGACCCTGTCTTAAAACAAAAGGACTGGGGCATACAGCTCAGGTGGTAGAGTGCTTGCCTAGCATGCACAGGGCCCTAGTTCCATCCTCAACCCTCAGCACTGCAAAATAAGTGAATAAATTTTTTTTTAGATAAGAAAGGTACAAACAGACAAGATTCCTGCTTTCTAATACCAGTATTGTTACAGGTAGTAAGAGATTGGGCTGAATCTGTTTTCAACCATACTGTTTTGACTATATTTGGGATTATTACATATCTGAGACCACTACCTTAAGTATTCAAAAGTAGTTGCACCTTCCAAGTATATCCAAAAAGGAATCTTGGGGCAAGCAGTTTTTGTTTTTTTGTGGGATTTTTTGGTTGCTTTTTTTTTTTTGTGGTAGTGGGGTTTAACTCAGCATTGCCCTTGCTAGATAGGTATTCTACAACTTGAGCTATGCCCAGTCCTCTTTGTTTTGGTTGGATTTTTGGTTGTTGCTTGGTTTTTTTGGGTTTGGAGTTTTTGTTTTTGTTTTTTTGAGATAGGGTCTCATTTTATGCCTAGGGTGACCTCAAACTAATTCTCCCCATCTCTGCCTCCCAGTAGGCACTATAGTGGGAAACAGTTATTTCTTTGGGTATGGACACTAGGTGAGAAGTGAGTTCAATTTCTATGTTTTGTTGTGGTTTTCCCCATCCTTTAAAACATTTCAAAAATGGAAACTCCTAATAAACTGCTAGTTTGTTTGCTCAAATGGTTAAAAAAAAAAGAAATGTTTTCTTCAGTCCTAGTGGTTTTGAACTAATCAGTAATCCAGCAGGGCCCCAAATGCAAATTCCATCATTCCCACTCTCTGTTTTGAGTACCTTCTTTACCCTTATTGCTGCTAGAAGTGTGACCTTAGCTAAAGAAGAAAGATAGAAGGAAGACCACATTCACACCCTCTAAGAATTCAAACTCCGAGATCCAAAGAGCCAAATTTATGGAGGAAACAAATGGAGCAAAAGTCATGTCTTGAAGCAGGTGTAATTATATTTGATCATTTTTCTTTATTCTTTGGGGCAAATCTCAGTATCTTATGCCTGAGATGACATCATTAGCACACACTGAAACAATTAACATTCTCAAAAACTCACAACTGCAATATTCTATCCTGTTTCCCAGGAGTTCAGGTATATGAAAAAAAAATAAACTATGATTTCTTATCAAGAAGTCTACTCCAGGACTAGAGGTGTGGCTCAAGAAGTAGAGCACCTCCTTTGCAAGTATAAAGCCTTGAGTTCAAACCCTAGTCCCCCCAAAAAACTCAAGATGTCTATTCCAGTCTGCTTCAAAGCCTCCTTACATCTGTCTCCCATTGCCACTTTTTTTTTAAGACAAGATCTTGCTATATAGCTCAGACTAGCCTCAGACTCAAGACCCTCCTGCCTCAGCCTTCTGAGTGCCAGCGTTACAGGCATGTACTACTACTGCCACTCTATTACATTTAACAGAATCTAATTATTCTTTAATCTATAAATCCTCAAACTCAAACCCAATATCTAAAATGTGTAAGGCTGGGGTGTAGTTCAGTGAGAGAGTGCTTGCCTAGTTTGTGTGAGGCCCTGGGTTCAATCCCCATTATTGCAAAAGTTAAAATTAAATAAAATGTATAAAAACTGACTCACACAAAACTCTGTTAGATCTCTCCTTCCATTCAGTCCTCTGATAGAAATTACAGTACAGCTATTCAGTACGAACAGAGCCAAATTCCTGGCATTGTAACTTACACAAGTGGTAAAATCATAAAAAGTCTGAGGCATCTGGTCCTTACAATATGTATAGCCTAGAATGTGTTTGTGCCTGTGCAACAGGAATACTCTTCAACAAAGGCTCCTGCCACGTGTGTTTTCTGTTCTGGGTAATGGGAAAGGGCCTTAAAAGTCAGGAATTTTTTGTTTTTACAACTTAAAGCAAATCCCTGTGTGTTAAAGACAGTCTTTCAAAAGGCATTAACCAAACTCCAGCTGTGACAGTACTTGGCAACCAAGTGTAAGCTGCAAGAGCCTTCACTGTGGGAACCAAAGTGACATCAAGAGCTGCCTGATAACCCTCCCTCCCCCAACACACACAAGGTAATTGTAAAGCTTACTGAGGCTCTCTCCTCTAGCAGTATTTCATACAACTACCCTGAGATACATTTGTTTGCTTCTCAAATAGAGCCATTTTTTAAGTTATAAGTACTCTACCTTGATGTTAGTGAAAACTTTAGAAATAAAAGAGGAAAAGTTAGGTAATAACTAGGTCTGGCAACAATGATTAATGAGTGGGGCAGAGCTATCATTGGTTTGAGTGTGGAAGAAGGACATCAGGGTGAGAAGTACCTCCAACAGTAGCCTACATCTGAGTAGATGGTTAATGCATATGGCCTTTTATAAATATCGGCATCTCCATCATCTAAGACAGAGGCATATTCACAGATACTAATGATGGATATCTGTCATGTCCCAGATACTTTGGGAAGCCTAGTGATGAAAAATTCCAGGATCCCTGTACTGAGACCTTACCATTGAGGAGTGTAGAAGGCCATCCATCATGGCTTCCTTTTCCTAGAGAGCATACTAGAAGATGACAGGTTTTTATGTGGAAGAATTTAGTTACTGAACCAGGCATGAGTAATTTGAATTCTCATAAGAAATGAACATGATAAACAGTTAACAAAGAAGCTGTACTTATCATCTCTATCCTTAAACTTTCTCTGTATTTGATGCTACAGCATCTCACAAAGATAGAGAAGTGACCTTTAATTCTGGAACATCATGTGTCTTTGATGCTGCAGTCTTAAGAAAGAACCTAACAAACCTGTTCTTACCCTAAGTTGGTAATTTGGAAGACTTCCGTCATGACCAGGAGTGGCAGCCAGAATTTAAGGACCTAGCAACAGATAGTCACATTTGCACAACTACAGTTTTCCTCAGAGTCTTTTGTTGAAACACTTTGTTTCATCATTTATTTGGAGGCATGGTATAATGTCTTAATAATTCATCTGCCTGCTGGGTGTGGTGGTACATGCCTGTAATCTCAGCTACTTGGGAGATGGGGGCAGGAAGATTGTGAGTTTAAAACCAGCCCAGGCAAAATTTATTGAGAGCTGGGGTCATGGGTTTAGTGGTAGGGTGCTTGCCCAGTATGCGTGAGGTCCTGGTTCAGTCACCAGGATGATAAAAATAAATAAATAAAATTATTTGCTTGCTTTAGAAAAAAAATTTTTCTTAAGCATCCAGGTTAATAAATTTGTCTTGAAAGGACTCCTGCAACTCTGTGCCCTTTTCTAATACTGGCACTTGAGCCCCAACTGGCTTACAGTGAAGTAATAGTGACTTGGGAAGAAATGTTATCAATTTGATTAAAAATCTGTGTCTCCCCATTGATCTGGGACCAGTATTCCAGGAATGGATACCAGCTAGTCATTATGGCACTCTCACACACCCATCTCTATCTGTCCTCTTCAGGGCATTTTTTACCTCTCTAGCACTTAGCTTGATCTTAATAAATCTCAAGGCTCACTTATTTCACAATTTCCACAGGTAACTCTTATACTGATGTTTAGTGCACCTTATTTTTTCTGTCTGGGAATCTGATAAGCAGGTACTAGATACTTCTGAGCCTTAATTTTGCTGTTTGTGGGAGAAGTATTTCCTGAAATGCACCCATGCATGCATGATGATCCTTGTCAGGAAACTCAAGCAAACTTGGCTCATAAGGATGTCAGAAGAGAGAGTACATTTGTCTGAGATTTTGACTGAAGGTTTTGGGTTTTGGATGTATATTTCTAGACACTGTTTCCAGCAAGTTGCAAAACAACAATGTCTATACTATTGCCAAGAGGAATGTGGAAGGGCAAGACATGTTGTACCAATCCCTGAAGCTCACTAATGGCATTTGGATTTTGGCTGAGCTACGTATCCAGCCAGGAAACCCCAATTATACGGTAAGGCCTTTCCCAGAATGTGTGAGATCAACTACAGAAGAGAGGTAAGAGCCCTTATGGTTTTCCTTAGCATGCCACAAAGACCAGAGGAGATGCTCAGACCCAAGATACCCAAAACGAGCAGTCAGTAAAGAAGTCCCCAATTAAAGACCTCCTTGCTACAGTGTCTGCCCCATCCAAAAGGTCTGGTGCCTCTGACAGCAAGGAGTGTTGAAAATCATGCTATATAGAGTTGCTTTCAAAACTTGGCAACTTACTCCTCAATCTCAGTTAATACTTACCTCCCTATCTTCGTGTGCCGTATTATAATAATAAACTGCTCAGAGGAGCATTTGCTAGCTGATTTTGCTTTTGGAGTTTATGATCTCAGGATATCAGAGTCAAACACATGAGCATCTTGCAACATTATTGTGTGACCTGAAATGCTTATTGTGAGAGATAAAGCAAAATGAACAACACACGTGGCAACCTATAAATGGTCCTTCCCAAAATAAAGATTATTTTGTAGAATCATCAGATCATCAAGAACTATCTGAACCCTCAACACAGTTCCCCTACCAACAAATTACATAATTTTGAACAAGTCACTAATCATTCTTAACAATGGTTTCCTTAGCCTATAGAGAAGTTTCCAGGCTGTAAGTTTTCCTTCTAGTTTGGAAAGCATCATTCAGTACTATACTGAACTAAAGTAAAAATTCTGGTATTGCTTTATAGAGCAGAAGCAGTTGCTTTTTTTAAACAGCAAAAATTAATACCCTAAGCACTGGGTATTTGTTTGCTATCATAAGCTGTGATCTGCAAATAGGATGCTGCTTGCCATCTGCACTGTTCAATATTGATAAGATCTGAGGAAGGTGAAAAGTTAGTAGATTCAGGGAGCCTTTAAGCTGAGAAAAGTCTGATCTTTTTTTTTGGTCTGGTGCTACTAGGGTTTGAATTCAGGGATTTGCCCTTGTGAGATAGTCGCTCTACCACTTAAGCCATACCTCCAGCCCTCCCGTTCCTTAATTTTGAGAGCTAAATCTGTTTTCACTAGTCAAGGGAATAGTACCCAGAACTGAAAACTCTTGGTGTTTTCCCAACAAATTCCCTCCCTTGGAGTAAGCTGGAATAGGGTGTGTTGTGTGTGTGTGTGTGTGTGTGTGTGTGTGAATGTGTGTGATGTGTGTGGGTGTTGGAGTAAGCTGGAAATAAGGGTGTGTGTGTTGGTGTTGTGTGTGTTTGTGTGTGTGTTGGAGTAACTGGAATAGTGTGTGTGTGTGTGTGTGTGTGTGTGTGTGTGTGTGTTGGAGTAAGCTGGAATAGGGTGTGTGTGTGTGTTGGAGTAAGCTGGAATAGGGGGTTGTGTGTGTTGGAGTACAGCTGGAATAGGGTGTGTGTGTATGTGTGTGCTGTGTGCTGTGGGTGGTATGTGTGTTGTGTGTGTTGTGTGCTGAGTCCCGTTTCAGTCTAGATTTTTTACCTAAGCATCTGTGAGCAGGGAAACTGCAGGACTCTCCCCATATGTGTTCACTCTTCTTGCTCCCCACCAATCTCTATTTATCTTTGAAGAATAACCTATTCCGCATAACACTTGAGTTTCCAAGACAAGAAGCCCTTTCTGTGCTGTCTCAAGACAGATTCTCTTACTTGATTAATTAAAGATCTTTGGGGGGGGGGGGGGGTGGGGGGGGTGGGGGGGGGGGGGGGGGGGGGGGGGAGGGGGGCGGGAGGGGGGGGGGGGGGGGGGTGGGGGGGGGGGGGGGGGGGGGGGGGGGGGGGGGGGGGGGGGGGGGGGAGAAATATTCAAATTTATTTCCTAGAAATTTCTCAAGTGTATATGTGTATATATAGTCTTCCATCTCAGCCAAGGTAAAGAAGCATGATTGCCTCTAGGTTACAGTTAAGAAACCATGGTTAAGAATAATCAGTGACTTGTTCAAAATTGTCTAATTTGTTAGTAAGTGAGTTGTATTTAAAGTTGAGGTATTTCTTGATGCTTCCTATACCCTGTTCTTTATTTTGAGGGGAACTCTTAGTATCACTGCCCTAAATACAGTTTAAAAATTTTTTAGAAACTTTTGTTTTTAAATAAAGACTCACAAGTTTTTCAGTGGGACATAGTTCCTCTATATCTTTTGCCCAGTTTTTCCCATTGATAACATCTTACATATCCATATTATATTCTCAAAACTAGAAAATAGATACTGGTATAATTCAGCTAACTATAGCTATTCAAATTTCACAGTTTTTACATTGCATTCTCTTTTTTTTTAGATTTGACAATGTATAGTACAATGCAGTTTAATTTAATTTAATTTTTTATTGGGGTGGGACTAACATTTGAGCTCAGGACTTCCTGCTTGTAAAGCAGGTGCTCTGCTGCTTGAGCCTTACCTTCAGTCCATTTCTGCTGTGGTTATTTTGGAGATAGGGTCTCAGGAAGTTTTTGCCCAGACTGGCCTCAAACCATGATCCTATCTCCTGATCGTAGCCTCTCAAGTAGCTAGGACTACAGGCATGAGCCACTGGCACCCAGCTGCAGTTTTAATTTGTATAAATCTCACCACAGTCCAGAAACAGAACTATTCCATCACCATTAAACAAAACCTCCTCTTGCTATCCCTTTGTAATTACACTTTTCATCCCAGTCCCAACCCCTGGCAACCACTGATCTGTTCAACTACTATGGTTGTGTCATTTTGAGAATGTTATAGAAATTAAGTTTATACATCATGTAACTTTTCAAGATTATTTTTTGCACTTGGAGTAATACCATTGACATCTACCAAGTTGATACATGTTTTTTAATTCTATTTTTTATGATCAACTAGTAGTCCCATTATATGCACGAACCATGGGCTCTCTAGTCATTAAAGGACGTTTTCTCGTGTGTGTGGTGTGTGTATAATTTTGAGATTTGTAGATTCACACGCAGTTGTAGGAAATAATATAGTGAGCTCTTCTGTAAGCAGCCTGAGATCTCTGAAAATGATCTCTACTCAATTCACCCAGAAAACACAAACATGCAAATCAAGAGATTTGGATCTTCATGTGCACTTTTAAGAAACACCTGGAAGCCAGGTGCCAGTGGTTTATGCCTGTAGTCCCTAGCTACTCAGAAGGCAGAGATCAGGAGGGTCATGGTTCATGGCCATCCCAGGCAAATAGTTCGAAAGACCTTATTTCAAAAATACCCAACACAAAACAGGGCTGTCAGAGTGGTAGAGCACCTGCTGAACAAGCTTGAGGCCCTGAGCTCAAACTTAAGTGCACCCAAAAAAAAAAAAAAAAAACCTGGAATTACTCAGACCATCAAAGGTATTCACATCCAAAAAGCCACCAAGTATCTGAAAGATGACACTTTGCAGAAGCAATGTATGCCATTCCATATTATAATGGTGGAGTTGGTAGATGTGCCTGAGCCGAACTTTTAAGTCACAAAGTTGGTGACCTAAAAGAATGCTGAATTTTTTTCAGCACTTGCTTAAAAATGCAGAGAGTAATGCTAAACTTAAAAAGGTTTAGATGTAGATTCTCTGGTCATTGGACACTTCCTAGTCAACAAAGCCCCAAGTTGAGCTTGTTATACTTACAGAGTTCACAATTGGAATAACCCATACATGAGCACCCTTTGCCCCATTGAGATGATCCCCACTGAAAAGGAACACATTGTTCCTAAACCAGAAGAGAAGGATGCACAGAAGAAAAAAAAAAGATATCCCTGAAGAAATAGACATTGCACGGGAGTAAATTAAGCATAAAATCAGTGCAAATAAAAGAAAAAAAGAAACAATACAGTGAGATCTTGTTCTCATAGTACCCTTTTTTAGCCACACCCACATTCCATCCTCTTCTACCCCCACCATCCCCCACCACCCCTGCCCCAGTGGATTTCTTTGCCTCCTTTCCTATTCATCCATCTGGCAACTAGGTTGCCCACAGTACCACCTAAATCATTCATCACAGCACCAGACATAGGTCTAATCCATTCCCTTCCCTTCATCACCTTGAACACCCATTACACTATTGGTCTGATCTCAAATCACATTAAGGAGGAAAGAAATCTCATAGAGCCAATACTAGGGCCTGAAAGACTGACGTCCCTTTATCTCCTAAGAAGAGTTGATGGAGCCCTTCCCACCAACCCTGGTCCTTACTTTATTTCATTAAGAAGGTATGTTTATCTTATAAAGGTGAGACCACATCTCAGGTAAGACAGCTTGTCCAAGGGTGAAGAAGTGTGTATTCTAGACTGTACAGCAGTAGTGGGCTTTAGTTAGGCAGTGCAGGTAACTCTTCTTCCTAAGTGGATCCAGACTGGCAGCATCACTGAGTGGTTGATAATAAAGATGTATCACAGGCTGGTGGAATGGCTCAATTAGTAAAGTGCTTGCCTAGCAAGCCTGAGGCCCTGAATTCAAACCCCAGTACCGCCAAAAAAAAAAAGAAAAAGACATCAAAGATGTATCACACAAGCAGGGTAGCAGCTCAAAAATTAAGACCCAGGGTCCTGGCTATGTTTAACAACTGTAACCTGTGTTAAAGGAAGGGCAGGGAGTGAGGGAAATAGGCTATTTGGAGTCTAGAGAGATGGAAATATTCTTTCCCTTCTTCCAAAGAGGAGCTGTAATACCCAGGATCTAACTGGGCCTGGTCGGTCCAAACATCCCAAGCATTGCCATTTTGGACTTTTTTTTAAGACAGCATTTCCGTACTAGTCATGAACAAATGTTCCTCCAACTGACAAAACTTCAAGTATTGTTACAAAAATGAAAAAATGTAGCACAGTATTTTGGGAAAAAGGAACTACCCCTCTTTAGTCTAGGAGTTAACTCCCTTAAGCTGTTCTTTCTCCTTTTAGCTTCCTCTCCTCCTCCTCCTCTTTTAAACCTACATATTTTCCTACTAGAATTTTCCACAACATTGGCAGTGGAGAAGCTGTAGAGGAGAAGGTGTAAGAATTGCGTCTTGGGGCTGGAGAAGTGGCTCTAATGGCGGAGTGCCTGCCCAGCAAGTGCAAGGCCCTGAGTTCAAATTCCAGTACCACCAAAAAATAAATAAAACAATTACCAGGTGCTGGTGGCTCACACCTGTAATCCTAGCCACTCAGGAGGTAGAAATCAGGAGGATCTTGGTTCGAGGCCAGCCCAGGCAAAAAGTTTATGAGAGCCCCATCTCCACCAATAACTGGGCACATTGGTGTGCCCAGCATATGCCTGTCATCCCAGCTACACAGGGAAAGCACAAATAGAATCATACTTCAGGCTGGGGGTACAGGAGAGCCTATCTCAAAAATGACCAAAGCAAAAAGGGTTGGAGGCACAGCACATGCAGTAGAGTACCTGCCTAACGAGTGCAAGGCCCTGAGTTTAACCCCTAGTACACTCAAAAATAAAAATAAATAAAATAATTGCCTCTCTAGGGAGTTTGAAAGTCAGGGACATACATACAGTTGCAAGTTGGACCAAAGTGGGGAGCTGTTTTCTATTCATATTTATGTTCTTATCATTAGTTTGTTGTGTTTTGCTTTTTTTAACATTTATCAGAATTATCTTCCTGACTGATAAGCAGCAGTTTTGGAAATATGTTGAGACTGAATATTAAAGTTTTAAATAGAGTCTCTTTTAAAGCTGTCTTTTATTTGATTTGGGTTTTATTTGTTTTGGGTTTTTTTTTTATGTTTTAGTATGCTAGTTTTTTCAGGAAAATCAGAGTTGTCCAATACCTTTTTGACCTTTTTCCCAAAGATAATTTTCATGTTTAATACTATGTTAAATTGTCCTGAGTCTTTAATAAAGAGGTAAAATAATCTAAATCTCATGCAGATATATTATTAAAGACAGCTTTTGTTACACTCCCCTGGTAAATGAAAGCAGTGATTTCAGTGTTATATACATATACGTATATATGAAATTTCCTGGTTCTAGAATGCATTTTGCATGCTTATAATGTTACTTTATTGTTGGGTAATAATTTTGCCTAATCCAATACAATTAAGGATCCAAATCAGGTTTAAATTTTGTCCTATCTACTCACAAAATTTACTTACAAAAGTAAATTCTCAACATTCAGCATTGGAATCTTTTTTTTTTTTTTTTCATTTTTCTTTTATTATTCATATGTGCATACAAGGCTTGGTTCATTTCTCCCCCCTGCCCCCACCCCCTCCCTTACCACCCACTCCGCCCCCTCCCTCTCCCCCCTCTCAATACCCAGCAGAAACTATTTTGCCCTTATTTCTAATTTTGTTGTAGAGAGAGTATAAGCAATAATAGGAAGGAACAAGGGGTTTTGCTGGTTGAGATAAGGATAGCTATACAGAGCATTGACTCACATTGATTTCCTGTGCATGGGTGTTACCTTCTAGGTTAATTCTTTTTGATCTAACCTTTTCTCTAGTACCTGTTCCCCTTTTCCTATTGGCCTCAGTTGCTTTAAGGTATCTGCTTGGAATCTTTTTTAATGGTGTTTAATTTGGTGATTATTGGATTAAAAGAAGAGAGATGGTGGTAGAGGAGAATCAGAAATATCTGATTTGCATGTCCAAAAAGGCAGCAAATGAAAGGCAAGGCAGTTGACATGATTTGCTGTCCAGTTATACTGTGTCTTTTTGTGTTGTTGTCTTCCCCCATAAGAGTATATATTCTCCTCAGTATAATAACACACTGGTCCTACCTAACTTATGCCTTAATTTAACCTGATTATACGTCCTCCTGAAATTGGGACTGAGAGACCCAACCTCCTTGTCAGACTGAGGAACTGAGACATACAGTTGAAATGACTTATCACTAAGCTAAGGTCTTTATTTGGTATTGATCCCTATAACTCTTAGCAAAGCATCAGAGCAGCTGTTCCCCCTGTAATCAGAGGCCGTAATGTTTTTATACTATTTCCTGACCTCATTGACCCACATAGGATGGAGGTAGAAACACAGCACAACTAGACATTGATAATGTTAAAATTCAACAGTCCTTACTATATATTAACATAATCTCTTGTTTGGCTATTCTGGTCATAGAGTAAGTCCTCCCCTATTGTGTCAGAAATTTTCTTGATTGAATGCTTGGATACCTTTATAATTAATGCCAACTTCTATGCTAATCTTCCTTCTCCTTTTGTCTTAACAGCTGTCACTGAAGTGCAGAGCTCCTGAAGTCTCTCAATACATCTATCAGGTCTACGACAGCATTTTGAAAAACTAATAAAGGTGGTTCATTACCCTCCAGCCACCCTGTGATTGGTGCAAGCCAAGAACTCTTAACTGGAAGAAATTGTACTGCTGTGTAGAACCTTAACCCAAACACACTTGTGGCCACCCACCCAGGTAGTCCAGTCTACCCTGTGCTGACATTAAGCACACCCTATTGGATAGTTTTAGCTTCCTGAGAACATTTGTAACCACTGCTTTAGTCACTTTCCACCTCTTGCCACCTGCTGCTGCTCTCTGTCCTTACTTGTGGGCTTCTCCATGCTGTGCCAATGGCTGGCTTTTTCTACACCCTCTTTTGAGTGTAGTTTGATATTTTGTAATCGAAAGAAAGCTCATTTCAAAAGCAGAAAAGACAACAAATTAAAGCAAGGAAAAGTGTCACTGAAACGTAAACTGCACTTTATTGTTTTATATTTTTGTACATATGAGAAATTGAGGTAGTATAACCAGTAGAAAGTGTTAAAACAACTAACCAATCTTAGAGGAAAAGATGCAGTTACCACCTCACTCTGTGAGGGGTTCTCTTATGCTTGGCAACCTTGTCCCTGATCATTTGGATCTCCCTCCCCCCTTTTTTTCTGTCTCTTTCTCCAAACTGATTCTTTGGCCAGGCCTTCACATTTCCCTCTGCCCCTTATTATCATTTCATTTGATTGCTTTGCCTTTGGAAACGGTGATCTTCATAGGATGATGTTTCAGGATGTCCACACCAAAGCTGAAAAGTTAGAACATTCTATATTCCTTTCCACTGAACTAACCCATTAATAACACTAATTAAGGACACTGAGTAGAGATGGAGAACAGGAACCAAAATGCCCCCCCTAGACCTCTCCCCTGTATTTCTCAGGTCCAATTTAGATCTAAAATCAGATTTTAGAGTTGATTTTAATGACATATCAAACCCTGCTTGTCTACAAATGAGAAAGACAAAGGGCATTATTGCTGAGGCCCGTCAGCTCTTGGATAGCAGAGCTGAGGCAGATCCCATCAGTGCTGTTTTCACTGAAGCACTGTCTCCATGCTGTTCTTTCCTTAGTGCTTTCAACTTTTTCTGTACCTGCTCTGTGACTGGTACATATGTACTCCATACTGAGTTTGGTACCCCATCCATTCATTGGTATCAAGTGGCAGCAGAGCTTCTTGTCAGTTACTTGAAGGTGCATATGATGAAAGAGTGAAAGTGTGGCTACTGCTTCCCTGGTGCTCACGTCTTGAGGCCAGCTGGTGGATGCAGAGAAGTGAGCTTTAGAGATGATGCAAGTTCTCTTTATCTCTTCAGACTCTAGAGCAAATGTAAGACCATCCCAGAGGTAGCGTAGTTCTTTTCATCTCTCAAAGAATTGGAGAGGTGAAATCCCCTCCCTTAACATGTTGAGTACCATTTGTCAGGTAATGAGTGCTTCATGCCCAGGACATCACCCTGTCTAGTGGTGTTCATACTGTTCCATCTGTGGGCCCTTGTTGCAGAATCTGGCACGCAGTCTTCAGGGTTCATGATCAAGACAGCTCTTCCAGGTACCCCTGCTTGAGTCAGAGGCACTGCAGGGTCCAGAGGCCTCATGTTGGACTCAGACCTAACCCACCAGACTCAAAGGAGGGATTATGAAAAAACAGCAGAAACCAACCCCTAGCCACCCTGTGCCTGATATAAACCTGTATCAGTTGCAAAGCTTGGGGAGAATGGATGCTCCAATGCAGTTTCTTAAACCTTTGAGAATCTTCAAGAAAAGAATTACTGGGTGGGGGAAAAGAAATACATCTCTCACTCACCACTGCTCGGGCACTTAGGGAATAGGAAATAGCACAGGAATGTATGGGAAACGGGTGGGTTGGTGATGTGTGGGGTGGAAAAGCAAGTTGATAAAGTTTCCTTATTGGGACTCATTCATGGAGTCTGGGTACAAGCAGCGTAAAAGGTTCACACTACAAACACAGTGTTCTCATTTCAAAGTAAACTGTAGTTACAGAAGGAAAAATATGTGTCAGGGCAAACAGAACACAATTTTATGCAAGGGTATGTCCCTTAGCCCCTGAAACAAGCTTCTTTCAGTGTCCCTACCAGTGATGGCTAACTGCTGCTGTTGTCAGCTGGCCTGCTGAGCCAATCCATGATGTCTTTGCAGCTTGGGGAGGCTGCCTCACATTGTGCCCTGAGCAGAATTATAGAGTTACTCCATACAAAAGGACCTCTCTCCTGAAGAAACATCCTGTTGCTTCCACAACAGCTTCCCTTAGGACCCCTTTCAAGCTTGGCCTGGTTGGGGGTTGGACTGGGGTTTGCCCCACATATCCTCTGTCGTCTTCCTAAGTATGTCTGTAATGTCAACTAGTGTACAAAGGGAAAAGAAAGCAAACACACCCAGAACTCTCTCTGGTCAGAGATTCCCTGAGTGTCCTCACTCAAGCCTGTTCCCTGTGTCTGTCTTGTAAAGCTTGGGACTCTGGAGAGAGGTGGGAAGGGGGTAAAAGATGTCCTAAGAATGCTCATTCTTCTGTTCTAATTGGGATCTGTTCTTGGGGAGGATGGGGTTGGGGGGAAGTTTGACTTGTGTCTTCATCAATAAACTTTCATTTACACAAAATAGTGGTTTTGTGGTTTATACTTTGTTCCCAGAACTGACACTTCTGGACAGAACACAGCTGGCCAGAGGAGGGACAGAACATTAGTATTCTTTCTTTTAAAAATTTTTTTTAACAGCCCTAGAATTCCGAGGGGTTCAGCCAGATGAAATTAAACTTGGCTTGAAGAAACATATACCTCAAGAGGCCCCTACTGACTTAAGCCTCAAACCACTGCCACCACAGGAATTGTACAGAGTTGCCGATCAGTCTTCCCTGGCAGTGTTCCCAGCGGCACTAGGCAGGGCAGCAGCACAGCAGCTTTTTTCTGATTTGTGGGTAGGAATCCTGCCAATTTCATACTCAGCTGAGCTACTCCTCAGTTTCCTATTGCCCAAAAGTCTCAGCTCTCAACTTATGAAGCCTCTCAAATGGACTCAAGGCCTGCATGTTCCCAAACAAATAGAATTGTCACTGCTTTAAAGCAAGCTTCCCTAGGAGTTCAAGGCTAGTAAGCTATATTTGTGTTGCTGGGGGCATATGACCCAAGTGTTGTCAAGACAAGGGTCTTAACCCTGGGTTCTGATGAGCTGACACCTGCTGAAACCCCTCTCAGCCCACAGTTGGGGAAAGAGCCAACACCAGGAGGCTATTGGACAAATTCCTGCACCTCTCTCATGGCTAGGGTATAGAAGTGGACAGTGGACAGCACTTGGTAAGTGCTCAGAACAGTAGTTGCTTTTATTACTTGGATGTCCAGGTACCATGAATTAATTGCCATTGGCTGCAGTTAACCTGAGCTCTAATAGAAGTAACATTTGGGAGGAGTGGGATCAGGGTGGACTTAACTGAGGTTCAGGATCAATCTAAACAGTGGCCTTACTGAAATCTAGCTGAGGTCACTAGTTAAGAGTGATACTTGGTTTTTCAAGTAAATTCCTCAGAAGGATACTCAACTCTTGGGTGCACATCACCTGTAGAGCTTTCAGAACCAACAGTTTAGTCAGTGTAGAGTGGGGCCTGCGGAATCTGCATTTAAAAAAAAAATCCTCAGGGGTTTCTAACATGCAGTCAGGATTAATCACTGCTAAAGAGACACTCAAACCCATTCATTCACCTACACTCCCACAGCAATAGTCATGTTCTTGTGGCAGGAGAAAAATGGTATTGCACTTCCGTGCACATGATCCCTGTTTATTCCCTTGTGTATCCATTGAATTCAACACCATCTCCCACCACCACCCCCATACTCTCCTACCCCCCCATCTCAGATGAGATATACAAAGCCACATCTTTTAACTCTATTCCTCCTTCACTCTTAAAGGGTTCCCCTCAGCTTAGCACATCTAGCTGTCCAAATCCCCCAGGATGCCAGGGCATACTGATCTCAGACCTTTACTTAGTGAAATTGCCGTGTTCTCTGCCCCTAGAATGCTAATTGAGGAATACTAAGACCTTAGGTACATTGTTTCTGAGGCCAGAAAACAGCTGAGGACTCTCAGGTCTGGGCCTTCCTACTCCCACTTCAAGCATTAGTGCTTTTTATGACTTTGCTTGGACCCAGATTTCTTTTCCCTGCCACCCCCAGCTCCAGGAGGCAAGAGCCTGTTTATTTTAATACCTGGTATGGCACTTGGAAAAGATCACACCTCCCCCGTTGTTACCCATTTCTATCTCCTGAACACATCCTAGAATCCCAACCAGCCCCCAGACATGGTATTAGCAACAAGGATGTTTCTTGAAAAGTTTCCGAGTTGGCTCCAAACTTGCCATCTCAGTTTCTCATTTAGCTTTTGCCCTACCATTCTTGAAACTGCCAACAAGAGAAAGGCAAATTTGGGGGTTGGCTAGGCCCAGATTCTTAGTTGGAGAAGTGACTTTCAAGGGCTTAATTTCCAGGAGCATTGTTTTGGGACAAGACTGTCTTCTCTCTGGGATCATTCCTCCGTTGGGCAGGGTCCCAACACTTCAGCTAAGAGAGCACCACTCACCCCCTTGCCCCACTGTGTTGGAGGATGAGGTTCAAGTCTAGCCTCGGATTTTCCTCCCTTGTTTTATTTTCATGTTCCAGGGTTTATTCATTGGCCCAGGATTGGCCAATCAGCTTCTGAAAACTCAGTGGGGGTTCTCATTATGATAGGGTGGAGTAGAGGTAGGCAGGTTTAGGTCTTTGTCCTTTCCATCCCACTGCACATCTGGGCCTCATGTACTGTAGATGGGCTCGTGTGTTTGCTCCCCTAGAACCTGAGTTTATAAGCTTGCACCTCAACCATTAGGCATCCTCCACTGAGCCAGAGTCATAAGAAAGAAGCTAAGGCCAGACAGACCCTAGGAGAGGGTCTCAAACTTCCACGAAGGTGATCCTGGTGATAGAGGAGGAAAAAACAGGCCCCTAGGAGTGTATGTTCTTGGCTCAAAGTGACTCAGCAAACCAAAATTAATTTCAGTTCAGGCAAATTTGCCACTTGATGATGACACTATCATTTATTTTTCAAATACAAATGCTTTAAATGACCTACCTCTGAAGGCTAGTATGAGGCCCCATAATTAACCTGTGGCTTTATTTTCTCCTAGTATAAGCTACATCATGAAGCTTCTGAGAAGCATGGCCCCAGGTGTGAGTGAGCCTTGCTCAATTTCTTATTTCTAGACACTCTTGGGCTGAAATGGAACTATGACCTGGGGGAGTAACCCAAAGCCTGGATCCTCAGGCAGAGTAAGGATGAAAGATTTTCAGATATAGTGGGAGACAGCATGTGTGTCTATAGACAATTTAAGTTAAGTGTTTTAGCCTCAAGCTAAGAGGCTCTCCCAGACCCCACTGTGATCCCTCTGGGCCAGTCACATCTGATTTTCTGCCCATAATGGTGCTCCAGAAGTGAACCCTGTCCTTCCCAGCCCTATTCTTGCTGCTAGCCCCAGCCCTCCTTATACCTCTGTCCTTAAGTGGGAGCCCACCTAGGATAAATGGAAATGCTTTCCCATTTTAGATAATGGCTGTGTTTGTCTCTAAAAAAGCAAGAAAAAAGAAAAAGGAACATAGACTTATTACACATCAGACATTGTGTTAAGGACTTTACATACCTTAGCTCACTTATGCCTTAACAAAGTGAAGACATCTCCATTTCATAGAATTTGAAGAGCTCAGGTTACTTGCTCAGTTACACAGTAAGTGCCAGCACCAGAGTTAATTCCAGATCCGTCTAATTCTGAAGTCCAGGCTCATGACCACTATGGTTTTTTGGACAGGAGAGGTAAGGAAAGCAATCGGGAAAGTGTCCAAAATGCAGAGTCCAAAGGAGGAAAAAGACCAGGTTCTTTGAGGGAGCTGGAACCCATAGTAATAGTCTTAGTGGAGGATGCAGGATCCCAGGGGTGAAAACACTTGTGAGATCTGAGATCCTCCTCCTCCTCCCTGCCCTGAAAGCATCCAAAATACAACCTTCTGTGCTGTCCTGCTTCAGAGCCCTTCTGTGCTTTTTAGTCAATACCCTGGCAGTTGAGGCTTTTGGGACTTCACCAGAACCATCCTCTCGGCCTCTTCCCTCAGCAGCTCCTGTCTGCTTCCTGGATGCACTTTTCAAACCTCTATAATTACTCCAAGCCTTCTCAGACTTCTCTAAGGAGCTAGCTCATTCCCTCTGCCCTCGCCCAGCACCTTGACTTTGCACACAGCACACTCTAGGGAGGGTGACTTGTCTGCTTTTGGCCTTCCCACTGAACTATGAGCCTCAGGTCAAGCTCATCAGCATCTGCCCTGCTAGCGACTCAGTTTTTGGATTCTGCATTTTGCATTTAAGTACGAGGAGTTCCTCGGCTTCTCTCAGCCTCAGTGATATCCTTAAAATGGGGGAAAGAGAATCTACTCCGTAGAATGCTGTGAGGATTAAGTTCGAGGATGCAAGCAAAGCTCCCACCACATTGTCAGGGATAGTAAATGTTAGCTGTTGATGATACAATGATGATGATGAGTGTTTTAGAATAAATACATGAATGCTTGTTTTCAACAAGTCTGGTAAATGCTGTATCTCTCAGTCTGGAGAGGAGAAGGAACAGCAGCTTTAGGGGGAGTGGAGGTCATGCCTTGGCAGGGGACCAGTTTTGCTTGGCGCTAGCCTGGTCTGCCTTTCATTGCCGCAGTGAAGGGTGAGTGTGACCACCCTTAGCTCCGTCCTTCGGGGGTGAGGAGAAAGAGCCTGGATATCTAGCACCCAGTGCAGGACACACACCGTACGCTTAACAGTAGCTGACTGACTGCTTTGGTAAGGGTCAGGACAGACCTGGGGAGGAGGGGACCGGGAATTGGCGCGGGGTGGAGGATATAAGGGCAGGAGTCAGAATGAAATCAGAGGCCTCCCTTTCTCCCAGTCTTCCAGGTTGGAGCTACATTCTCGCAGACAGAATCTGGAAGGAGGTGAAGATCGGGGCTAGGGACTGAGGAGCGAATCCGTCGGTCTCGGGGACCCAGCGGAACACGCCACCCCCCCAACCCCGCTTCCCCCTCCCACCGGCGCGAGCGGGCGGCGCGCTCCGCAGGGAGAGCAGAGCTGAGTGCGACCCCTCGGCGCGCACCTGCCCCCCGCGCCCCAGCCCGCCGCGCCTGGCCAGCCCGGGGCGCCCCTCCTCTCTCCCCCCGGGCGGGGAGCCGGGGGGCAGCGCCGGAGCCCGGGGGGAGCGCGGCCCCGCCGGCCGGCCGGCCAGGGCAGGGGGCAGCTAGGACGGCCTCGGGTAAGCGGCTGGAGGAGGGCCGCGGTGGAGGTGGGGGTGGGGGTCGGCGCGAGGGGAAAGGCGGGGGCCTGCCGGGGAGCGGCGCGGGGCGGCCACGTGAGCGCTGGAGCTGGGGCCGGGGGGTGCCTGCAAGCTTCTGGAGGCGGACGGCGAGCTGGGCTTCTGCATCCCCCCAAACTCCTACCAATCAGGTCATGGGGAGCCAGCATCTTCCGTCGCCACCACCCCCACGCGACCGCCCCACACGGTGGGCGGACGTGTGACCTGGCACTCCCGATCCGCAAGAGCCCCTGACCTCCTCAGTCTGGCGCAGGGACCCAGGTGTCCAGGCGGAGGGTAGGGGACTGCGACCAAGCTTTGGCCCCAGTGTGTGACCCCTGTCTCTTGCTGGGCCCTGTCTGCAGATTCACTGCAGAGCGCAGGCCTTGGGGACAGAGCTCAAGGGGCCTGGGCCCTGCTTCCTAGGACAGAGCCTTATGTCCTCACTCAGCCAGGCATATGGGATTAATAAACGCTTAAACCCAGGACCTCTGTCTGGGAAGAGGGAAGGGGGCAGCCTTCACCACTGAGTTGGGGATGAGTTGGGGAGAGGGCCATACTTAAGGCCCGGTGAGTTCCAGGAGGCTCACCCCCTGCTTAGGGGCGTCTTTTGCAGCCCCTCCCTGGCTCCCAGGCTGTGTCCGCTTTCATTTCTGCTGTTCCCCCGAAAGGGCTGGTTTCTGGGCAGGGAGTGTGGTGTCCAGGAGAATCTGCAGGTAGGGTATATCCTAGAAACCTCCAAGTTGCCACACCCAGAAAGAGGCTGGGACTCTGGTGTTCCTTGCCCTCTTATCCTCCCCTAGGACTCCTGCCTCCCCACCTGCTTGTGCTGTTATGTAATTAACCCAGCTGAGTTCTCTCTGGCAAGCTGGCAGTATCCAGGGATGCCCCGGGGGCCTAGGGACTTGGAGGGAGATATGGAGTGGAGGGATTGATTCTTCCTCAGTTGGGAGCGGGTATGAGTGTATGAGCACCTGTTGGGGAAAGGACATGCATGGGGTACAAAGGAGATCAGGGTCCTAGACTTAGCTGACAACTCAATTGGCTAAGAGGTCTTCACTTTCCTAAGTCTCTCGGGTTTTGTTTTTGTTTTTGCTTCCATAAAATGAGAATAATCACACACATATATACACACACACATTGCATGTATGGGAGCCCATGCAACAGTTGGGTAGTGACCCAGGATTTCTAGGAGGTCCCAATGAGGTTGTGGAAAACCTGGTATGAGTGAGCAGTAGCAAGTTTATTGAACACATACTCTTTGCCAGGCCCTGGATTTTATATGCATCATCCTACAACACCCTGTGAAGTTTCCTGCCCAGTGCCACACTTCGGATGAATGGCAGAGGTGGGAATCAAAATTGGCAGTTCTCACTCCAAGTCCTGACCTTTATTTGCTATACTGTATGCACACATACCCCATAGATTGAGCCAGGACAGCCTGTGGGACATTCAGCTACGAAATGAGAAAGAAGCTGCATCCAGCAGGAAAACATGCACACATGCAGAAAAGCCTAGCCCCATCTGGTCAGCATCCAGCACCTGGCCTGGACCTACTTAGCTGCCACTCTCTCCTCCCTACTAAGAGATTTACTGGACTTCTTTCAGAAGTAGGGCTGTTGGCCTCATTTTACATTTGTGCAGAGCTCAACATGATTGGACAGGTGGTTTGCCCACTGCACAGCTAGAAAATGTCGAAGCTGGAGTTTATAACCAAGCTCTGAAAGTCAGGAAAACTGAGCAAGCAAGGAGTCCCTATCCAAGTGTAACCCCTTAGCAGCCTTTTCCTGGGCACTGTGTGCCAATTCCTTTGAGCTCCAAGGGATGCCTGGAGCTAGTGCTCTTTCCACTCAGCTGTGTGACCTGCCTCGGTGGGGGAGTCAGACCTAGTAAAAAGTCAGGTCATGAGAATTGAGCGGAATGTACTGGGGAAAACGGGAGGAAGGATGGAAAAGTTTTAGATGGTGGAGATGGGGGTTCTGGGAAAGGGGAGGGCTTTACAAATGGCAGTGATAGCTTCAGCAAAGACCTGGAGGTAGGGAAGTGCAGGACATGTCCAGGGATAAGCCAGTACACTAAGCTTCCCTCTTTCCCCCAGCCCAGGTGGAGGCCACAGAGGGCCCAGAGCAAGCAGAGGCAGCAATGGTTGATCCTGACGGTGGCTGAGCCCCCAGCCCCTGGAATATGCAGCCCGGGGAGCCCCAGGCAAGGACACGGTGGCGGAGTGGGGCGGGAGGCATGGTCTCCACCTACCGGGTGGCTGTGCTGGGGGCACGAGGTGTGGGCAAGAGTGCCATCGTGCGCCAGTTCTTGTACAACGAGTTCAGCGAGGTCTGTGTGCCCACCACCGCCCGCCGCCTCTACCTGCCTGCTGTGGTCATGAACGGCCATGTGCACGATCTCCAGATCCTGGACTTCCCGCCCATCAGCGCCTTCCCTGTCAACACTCTGCAGGTAGGCGGTCCTCAGGGGCACTGGGGCGGGGCGGCTGAACTCCAGCCATCTCCAGCCCTGGGCCTGTTGCCAAGGCCCCTGCTGGATTTGAGACCCACCATGGGTCCTGCTGCTCAGAGCCATCCCAGGAAGCCATTTGTTTGTGTGCTAGTCAGTTCGACAAATATTTGATGACTGTGTAATGTATGCCAGAACCTGCACTGGGCACCTGGTAGAGTGGTCAACAAAACAGATGTGGAATTTGCTTTCAAGGAATTCAACAGTCGTCTGGTGAGGCAAGACTACCAGACAGTTATCTGGTGTGATGGGTGCTGAGAGTGGAGGAAATGAGCAAGCTAAGGCAGCCCTCAGACTGAGAGGCACATAACTCTCTCAGGTGTATGGGGTCACCAGAGGTGATGTAGCTTTTAGGCAGGTAAGGGGCAGTGGGGAGATGGGGAGAAGGGCATTGAGCACTAGCTGCTTGTTAATACTCTGGGGTCTGCCTACCATGGCCTCAGACCCTCACTCTTCCTTGTCTATAGAAGAACAGGCTAGGACCTGAGAAAAGGGTCTTATCAGATGGAGCCCCCAGTCAGGTCTCTTATCCAAGGGCCTCTTCTCCTCAGTGATGGACACCCTACCCTACTCACCTGTCCCTTTCTCTCCCCCCAGCCTCAGGACTACCTGCTGGGCACCCTCCCTGCATGGTTTGGATTAAGTACTCCAGAGTGAGTGAGGATCACTTCTGGGTCACCTCTGGAGATCCAGAAGGCAGGGGACAAACCCTGACCAGTTGTAACAGAAGATACAGCAATCTCTCAGGCTGGGGCTGGCAAGAGCTCAGCACTCACATTGTCTCAGTAATCCTGGCAGGAGGGACCTTGGGCCAGGCTGCCTGAGCCTCTTATCTCTCCAGCCCAGGTGCCTGAGTTTAGCGCCAAAATCAGAAGCGCACACACACACACACTCTGCAGTTATGATCCATACATCTGCTCCAGAAACAGTGAGGCTGGGCCAGTCAGGGCAGTGGGTTCCAGATCAGGGCTTCCAGTTCTCCTCTCAGAGACTTTGATGGTAGCCTGAGTGAACACTCAAATCTGGCTCCATGCCTGTAAAATGAGTTTTGCCTCTTTTTTCTCACATTTATGTGTAAATTTGTATTTATGTGTAATTTGTAATTTTAATTTAGGAGTAGGGATGATACAGTTTATAAGTCCAAACTGTGAGCCAGGCGCTAGTGGCTTATACCTGTAATCCTAGCTCCTTAGGAGGCTGAGATTGGGAGGATTATAGTTCCAGGCCAGCCTGGGCAAAAAAGTTCAAAAGACACCTCAACAGAAAAAGATCTGAGCATAGTAGCATATGCTTGTCATCCTAGCCACTGGGAAACTTAAAATAGGAGGATCACTGTCCAGGCCAGCCTGGGCAAAAAGCAAGACCCTATCTCCAAAAATCACCAGAGCAAAAAGGGCTGGAGGCATGGCTTAAGCAGCACAGCACCTGCCTCAGGTAGGAAGCCCTGAGTTCAAACCCAAGTAACCACCAAGGAAAGAAAAAGTTTGAACTATGGCCTCCTCCTTTTTTCCTGTGGTTACTTTCTGTAACATTCTCATTAGTTTTTCACTCATACTTCCAGTATTTCTTTACTCAAATAGGAAAATGCACATGGCACTTCTTTTTTTGTTTGTTTGTTTACATAAAAACAAAATTATAAGTTCTGTATTTTGTTTCTGGTTTTTTGGTGCTGAGGATTAAACCCAGGGCCTCACACTCACTAGGCAAGTGCTCTACCACTGAGCTGCACCCCCTGCTCTGTACTGTTTTTGTTTGTTTTAAATAATAAACAGGTCTCACCATGTAGCCCAGGCTAACCTTGAACTCAAAATCTTCCTGCCTCAGCCTCCTGAGTAGCTGGAATTATGGGAATGCAATAACAAGCCTGGCCCTTGTTTCTTTTCCTTTCTTTCTTTTTTTGTTTTTGGCAGTACTGGGGTTTAAACTTCAGACCTACCACTGGAGTCATGCCCCTATCCCTTTCTGCTTTTAGATAGGGTCTTGCGGGCTGGTGGAGTAGCTCAAGTGGTAGAGTGCCTGCCTAGATAGGGTCTTGCTTTTGCCTGGGCTGGCCTAAAACCTTGTTGGTCCTACCTACAGGCATGCGCCACCAATCCAGCTTTGTTGAAATGGGGTCTGGCTCACTTTCTGCCTGAGTTGGCCTCAAACCTCCATTGTCCTGATGTCCACCTCCAGAGTGGCTGGGATTACATTCGTGGTACACACAGCCCTTGGCTCTTGCTTCTGTAACTTAACATTAACCTGAAGATATTTCATGTCACTAGCTAGAGGACTTCCTTATTCTTTTCTCATGGCTATATTGTATAGATCCCCCCTTGTTGGACAGGTGAGTGGTTTCCAGTATTTTACTATTTTGAGCAATGCTACAATGACTAGTCTTGCACTTACTTTATACACAGGTAGTTGTATCTGTGTATCATTTCCTACAGATGACATTGCTGGATCAAATGGTAAATGCAATCAGAGTTTAGAAGATGTCTTCAGATTCTCCTATATAAAAGTTGAACATGTTGTGCTCCTGCAAATGAGCACAACAAGGCTTCCCTAAAATCTTGCCATCAGAATATATTGTCAAGCTTTTGGATTATTTATTTATTTGCTGAGGCAAGGTAGTCTTGTTATGTAGCCTAGGCTGGCCTGGAACCCACAGTCCTCCTGCCTCAGCCTCCCAAGTGCTGGCATTACAGGAGTGTACCAGCACACCCAGCAAACTTTGGGATTTTTGATAACCTGAAAGTCGAGATGCAGTAGTTCTAATATAGTCTTTATTTGCATCTCTGAGTATTAGTAAGGTTGAACATTTTTCCATGTATCTAAGGGCTTTTTTTGTTTCTTTTTCTGAGAACTACTAATGCCCTTTGCCCATTTTCTATTGAATTTTTGGTCTGTTTTTTTCTTGATTGACCCTTATCTTGGGCTCTAGAATATCTGAGGTTTCACTCTTGGAGCACAGGTAAGGGGCTTTGAGCAGAAAAGTACCGAGAAGGGACCCGAGGAGCCCTAAAGAAATACAAAACTCAAGAATCCTGTTAGCCACTATCTGAAAATAAAATAATACATTATTCTTCAGGGCTGGATGATCCAGCCCAGGGTCTGAACCTCAGTTGTTCCTGGTCCTTCTGTCAGACAAGGAAGCTGGGGTTAGGGGACATATGCAGCCAAAGGAGTCACCAGCCAATGAACGATTAAGAGCCAGGTGGCTAAGCCTCTCTCAGCCTCTGCGTCCCTGGAACTAGACTCAGTTTCCATTGTTCCTCCTGTGCCGTTGCTAGGGCCTTGCACATGCTGGGTTTGTGTAGTGCCACTGAGCTATATGCTCAGCTTCTCCTCTGTCTTAACACAGCTCCAAAATGATCTTCTTAGGGACAAGTTAGAACCCTGCACAGAGCAAGCTGGAAGGAAAGGTGGGCTTTCTCCATTCCTCCCTTCAATCAAGGGGTGAAGACAACCCAGGCAATCAGAAGCCTTTTAGAAGCCCCCAGAGAGGAGTGAGTGGAAGGCAGCCTGGGGTCCCTTCAAGGAAGAGAGGTGGGGCTGTCACCCTCAAGGCTGGCAGCTGCTCTCTGTCCCCAGCAGAGAACCTGCAGAGTGGAAACTTCTCCTCCCTCCTGCTCCCTATGGGTCTCCACTCCTCCCGTGGGATGGGGGTGAAACTACCTATACTCATAGCCCCTGAATCCCCAAGGTCACTGCATCCCACTCAATGCATTCTTCCCCGACCTGAGAAGAAGCCAGTCCATGGTCTCCTTTGGTTTTAGATTTGTCCTCAGGCTCCTCCCCTTGCACTAAAAAATTAAAACCTCAGCACAAAGAGAAGCCACATCATCTCCCTGGGGATATCCACTGCAGCTTCTTCCAAGGCTTTGAGTTGGAAGTGCTGTTCTAAAGTCAGACTTCACTCTCCCTGGCTGCCACCAAAGTCTGTTCCCTTGTATTCATTCTCCTTCAAAGTGGAGAACCCACTGCACTAATCCTTCATGCCCAGCCCTTGCCTTGATTCAACTCAAGCTGGGACAAGAGACATGCCTCCTCCTCCTCCTAATCTGCCAGTTTGTTTGTTTTTCTTCTTTTTAAATGTAATCTAATTTTATTTTTTGTGCTAGGATGACACTCAGGGCCTCACGAGTGTAGGCACGTGCTCCACCAGGCCCTTCCTTCCAGTCTTTTGCATGGACCCTAGAGAGAAAAATACACTGGTTGCCTTTGCCCTTAAAGACCTCTACACACACACACCAACTTCGGGGACTCCCTTCTTTCCACACACTGGCTGCCTGAAACTCCTCTTGCAATCGAATCTGCTGGCAGGTTAATTAGCTAATTAATCTCTTAAGGAACCTTCTCTTTAGCACATTCAGCCTTTCCAGGGATCTACTTATCTTGAGCTGCAGCCCCTCCTAGAGAATTCGCCATAAACAAGCCTTCAGGAAATTCTGTCTCCCCGGAGTTGCCCTGGGACTGCTCTACACCTCCCCACCCACTCCCCTACTGCCTCCAGTCTCAATCTTTTTCTCCTCAGGCCTGTGCCGCTGAAGGAAGAGAGGCGCTTACAATCAAGTAACAACCTAAGGGCAGTGTGAGGGTCAGGATTTACAGTGATCCCAAATTGGGAACCAGTGGGATTCAGGATCATGGAGAGCTCATTGGCCTAGGTAGTGCAATTAAGAAGCATCAGATAAAAGCAGAAAGTGCTGGTCAATGAGCAGAGGCGGGAGAATGTAAAACAAGGAAGACCTGGCTCTGGCATGGAGGAAGCTCACAGCAGACATGGGGACCTGGAAGCGAAACAGGTATAACTGGAGTATAATTGAAGGATTGTTAGAACACAGGAGGAGTTGTCCCCTCTTGCAGGAAGGGTGACAAATCAGGAAGGCTTCTTGGAGAAGGCACTTCAGCTGAGCATTGGGAGATAGGATTTCAACAGGCCCAACAACTAGCTGAGAGCTAAGCTCTCCAAGACACTTAATAAATGTACTGTTGAACAAAGGATTGGATGGATGGATGAGGGGACAAAGTGTCACAAGGCAGATCTAACCTCCAGATATACACAAGACAGTACGGTGGCCCTGCTGGTGTATCTACATGTGACCTGCTCTATCCTGGCTTGGGGATGGGGGGGCTGCAGCCCTGAACACCTGCAATCTCCCCCGGCCTGGCCCCATGGGGATGCATAGGTGTGGAAAGCCTCAGGTACAGTGGGAGGTGAGAACACTGTTAGTCTGACCTGGAGGCTGGGGAAAATTTATGGTTGCTCTGACTAGTACTGGCTGGGGGTGTTGCAGGAGTGGGCAGATGCCTGCTGCAGGGGACTCCGGAGCGTCCACGCCTACATCCTGGTCTACGACATCTGCTGCTTTGACAGCTTTGAGTACGTCAAGACCATCCGCCAGCAGATCCTGGAGACGAGGTGAGGGGCTGCAACTCAGTCTATTGCCTCCTCTGAGGATGCCCCAATGTTAGCCTGCCCCCGAGAAAGGACAGCCTGGATGGGGGAGGGGAGGGAGAACGACACAGGTGAAATACATGTACTCTCTGGTTCCCACATACACTCAAATATGCACATACTCATATTTTTCTGTCCCAATTTCTGTTGACTCGTTTTGGGACCCTGACCATGGGGTGGCTAGACTACTGGAGTGGTTAAGAGCAGGGGCTCTGGGTACAAGACTGCCAGGGCCATTCAGCGTCATAACCATGAGCCAGTTAATATTTAAGCCTCATCTGTAAAATGGTAATATGGTAGTACCCAGTTTTTGGATCCATTGTGCCCCCAAGAACTTGGGGCTGCGTCAGGAGCAGAACATATGGTAATACAGAGTCCAGTCGTTGTGAGACTGGCAAAACGTGAGATTCCTGTCTGGCCTCGCAGGGTGATCGGCACTTCGGAGACGCCCATCATCATCGTGGGCAACAAGCGGGACCTGCAGCGGGGACGCGTGATCCCGCGCTGGAACGTGTCGCACTTGGTGCGCAAGACCTGGAAGTGCGGCTACGTGGAGTGCTCGGCCAAGTACAACTGGCACATCCTGCTGCTCTTTAGCGAGCTGCTCAAGAGCGTCGGCTGCGCCCGCTGCAAGCACGTGCACGCCGCGCTGCGCTTCCAGGGCGCGCTGCGCCGCAACCGCTGCGCCATCATGTGACGCCGCGTGCGCCCCGCCCTCGGGCCCCTGCGGAGGGACGGCGCATGCTGGGGGCGGCTGCCCGCGGGACAGCGGGCGGGAGCGGGGACCCTCGCATTCACGCACCTCCCAGTGAGAGGCGAGGGTGAGGGGGGAGCCTCCCGGTGATTCTCAGCACTCCTGGGACAGCCATCGTCAGCGCTGTAGTTAGTGTAGTGCCCAGCCCGGCCCGAAGGGGCGCCACAGCCTTTTGGCTTGGGGATGAGCTTGTGAGATGGAGGGTGGGGTGAGGAGGTGCTGCCTTGGCTGGGCCCCCGCCTGTCTTCTCCGGAGCGTGTCTGCCTTTGCCCGGTGTCTTCCTGTCCTATGTCTGTCTGCCCAAGCGTCTATTACTCCTTCCTGTCTTACCCAACCCCCAATCTCCCTCTCCGTCCCCCCAGTTCTGCTCACAGGGCTCTCATTTCGTTCATCCCCTTGTCTCAGATCCTGGCAACTTTGTGATGCCAGGCCTTTCTGACCGTCAGCACCACCGGCACAGGGCAGAAAGATGCAGGTGGCCCGAGGACCACAAGCAAGGGGTCCGAGGGCTGAGGTCCCAGATCAGTCAGGGGGAGAAGGCTGAGCTCTCCCACTTCCAGGGAGACCTCCCTGCCCAGCTGCCCCCAGAGACACAACAACCTACCTTCCAGCCTTAACTCGATGGTCCGTCCCTGCCGGGTACCCCTCCACCCCCCTTCCTGACCCCAAAGCCAGGTCACCCTTGAGTTGAAACTTTGTTTTAACAGAATTCGGAGAAGGGATCCCCCAAAGGCTAAGATCCAGGTTCCAGTCCTCTCTTACCTCCTACACTGGGTGGTCTTCCAGATTGGGGGATGTCGAGTTGTAGGGGGCTGTTGGTGGTAGACAATGTGGTGCCCAGGAGGGGGTCATGTGTGCCAATGATGGTTCTGTCTCCCATTCCACCCCATTCTGACTCCCCAGACTCTGCCTGCTTCAGATCTCAGATTGCCCTAATTAATCTGGGCAGGAGCAGAGCCAGGAAGAGAATTGTGGGAACCCCTGTGCTTGGGAGAGATACATCTGCATCCCCACCCATAGGTGGAGGCCCTCAGGATCTGACATCCCCCTTGTTCCAGCAGCAGGTGGCCCTATGCCCTAATTCACCCCGCCCCATTTTCTCCGGCCAAGTGGCCGGGTTTCTACCTCTCGTCACAGGAGCTGATCACTGTCAGTTTTGTACTGAATTAGAAATAATAATAATGATTCCAGGAATGGCCTGAGGGACTGCCGGGGGGGACTTGGAGGGAGGGAGAAATGGTGCCAAGTCCCCTGCCTGGGCCAAAGAAGTTCTCCTTCAGGCTGAGCCTCAGCCCTGGTCCGGTGGGAGGATATCAAGGACCCTTGTTTTAAAAGGGGCACATTGAACAACTCAGTTTTAGCCAAGGCTGCAGCACCTAGCCCGGGGAAATCAGGTGCCTAGGGAGGTGACAGAGAGGAGTCTGGAGGGGAGAGGGGCATGGGAGGGAATCTGAGATTCTCTCTTCTGCTTCCCCCACTGCTTCCCACTCCATCCACGCACTGGGGCAGCACAGCCCTACAGCAACTGCCCTGACCTTGGGTAGTCCAGTGTTCCTGGGTTCTAGGCCCTGCTGTGCTGCATAACTTTGGGCACCTGACTTGCTCTCGCTGAGCCTCCCTCTGAAATGGAGGAGGTGGCTCCCCTTCCCCACACTTCAGAGTGGCTGGGAGGGTACGGAAGAGGGCTGCCCACTTTTGTCTCCTGTGCCCCACCCTGGTTCACAAGGGTATGGGGTGAAGGATGGCAGCATCTCATGTGCCCTGTCACCCCCAACTCAAAGGCACCTGAGGTGGGGGGGGCCCAAGCCTCTGGCTGCCCCTGTGGGAGCCATTGGAATGTAGCCCCCTTCACCTGTCCCTGCTTCATCCAGGTCTTGGATTCCAGGTTCCCCCACCCCCGTTCTGAGTCTCTGTCCTTCCTCTCCCCCACCAGGCTTTCCCTCCACAGGGTCTGGAAGTGTATGTGGCGCCCATTGAGCTGTTAACAGAAGCCAGATTAAAAATCAGGGAGTTTCCCTTGTTTCTGTACCGCGGTGTTGGCCCTGTTCCTCTTGGAGGGAGAGGAGGGTCGCTGCAGGATCTGTCTGCCGGGCTGCATGTGGAAGGGGGGTAAGGGTAATGAGATGGCCCCAGGCCCAAAGCCCAGGTCAACCAGGAGACCCAACCCCAAAGCGTCCATCGAGCATCCAGGAGAAAACAGCTTTCACCCTGGCTGCTCTGGAGGATTCTCCTCAAGAGACTCCATCCCAACTTCTCCTGCATCCTCTTCCCACACAGGGTGACGATTTTGTGGCCTCTCAGCTTATTGGATGTATATGTGGTAGGAACACGGTCAGCCATCCTTCCTGACCCTGAGAGGTCTCCATTCCAGGGCAGATCTTTGAAGTACTGGACAAGGGCGGCCTGCAGGGGCTGCCATTGCCTCTGTCCATGGTGCTGACACTTCCGGGAACGAGAAGGCCATCTGGCAAGGTTGGCCTAGCCTCAAGAGAGGAAGCCTCCCTCACTCCTAACTCCCTCCACCTGCCCCACCCCCTCCAGTGGGACTAACGTGGAGCTGTACCTCCACTGTCCTAGAGTGAAGCACTCAAGAAGCTTGGGCTCAAGGACAGACCCACATGTGTTTAATAACTTACAGTTGTGGAAACAGGTGGAAATGGCCAAAGGAGTTTAGGGGCATGTTGTGAGAGAGGGTAGTAAGATACAGGGTCACCCCACTGCCTCTGGCCTAATGCTGGAGTTTGAGTGGGAGTGATAGTTTGCCCTTTTACTCAACTGAACAAACTGAGTCAATTTCTCTCTCTCTCTCTCTCTCTCTCTCTCACTCACTCTCTCTTCCTGCCTCCTCCCCCTCCCTCCCTCTCTCTCATTCTCAATAGGGTCTTGCCATGTAGGTGGGACTGGCCTCAATTCTTTGCCCCAGCATCCCAAGTGCTGGGATTATAGGCGTGAACCACCATACCTGGCCAGATTGAGTCTATATGTGTTTTCTGGCCAATATCTTATGTGAAAACATGGGAACTTCCCCTCTGTTCTTGCATACATGAGGATCCTTATTATCCCCATCTGCAGGCTCCTCAGACCCAGGATTCCTCCTCCAGTGGAGGTGGGGCTTGAGGAAGCTGCTGAGGGCCCTGGCCCTCCAAAGGCTGGGGTCTGCTCTCCAGTGGATGGGCTGGCTCTTTCTTCTCCTTTTCTTCCTCCTCCTTTTCACCTGTTGAAGTTCCATCCACCTGTGATGCTCGCCCTCCTTTGTTGCTCAGTGCAGCTCTCAACAGCCTGCCCTTTGGGGGTGCCTTGGCTGGACCCAGGTGGAAATAGGCCAGTGGCTTGGGGATTCGTGAAGGCTGCTTCTCAGGTCTGTGATCTCTCCGAGGCTGGATCCTGAGGTTCAGCTTCAGCTTGTAGATGGATGGGACTCTCTGGGGCTTACGGAGTGTTCTCTTGCCCTTGCCCAGACATGCCTTGACTTTGTCAGAACTGGGGTCTGAGGGTGAAGATATGGGGACCTCCAGACTGGCAGACACAGTAGGCACTGAGCTGTTCTGACTTTCTGGAGGTGAGACATTTCTCATCTTGGTGCCTCTGGCACTCAGGCTTGCCTTTGTCCTTGGCCTGCTCTCTCTGGCTCCCAACTTCCCTTTTGGGCTTCCTGGGATGGCAGCAACAGCTGGCCTAGCGTGGTCTGTATGGGCTGCCTTCCAGGCTCCCTGGTCCACTTTAAGGAGAGGTGGGGGGCCCTGAGTCAGTTCTTGGATGACTTTGTCATAAAGACCTCCAGGCTCAGGCCACCGCCCACCCAGGCTGGGTACATATACTCCACTTCGAGGGATGACTCGAGACCCTGAATCCTGGGGACAGGCACCCCCTATCTCGAGCAGCTTCATGTTGGCCACAAGTTCCTCTTCAAGACTATGGTAGATGGCTTGCTCCTTGGGCCTGCCCAGGGGCAGGGAGGTATGCCTGCCCTCCCACTCCTGTGGGCCTAAGCCCTGGGGCTCCCCAGCCTCTGCAGTGTCCTGGATGTCTGGCTGCTGGTTCCCCTGCCTTACTTCCACAAAGCAGTCCGCATGTCTAGATCCAGCCAGGTCCCCAGTGACAGCCCTTGCTGGGATAGGGCCTCTTCCCACTTCTGCCATAGGACCTCCAATTTCAGTACCTGGAAGGCTTCTTCCTGGGGTGAGAGGTCGGGCAGGAGACAGCCGGATGGGGATCTTGGTGAGTGCTTTGACAGGGGTTGAAGAACAGACAGATGCTGGCTCCTTGAGCTGGGGGGATGCACCCCGGAGTGGCAGCCAGAGGCCTATGGGCTTGGCTGGGCTTGAGGAATGAGGCAGGGGAGATGATCCTCTTGCTGATGTCCCTTTGGTGGTGGCCTCAGGGGCTCGGAGTCTCTGGGAGGTGGGGACCCTGGCATATGTACCCAGACTGTCTGTCTCATGAATCCAAGACATGGTAGTCCTTCCCCTTGGAAGTTCTCCAGGGCATTTGTCTTCTTTCTTCCCTGATGGGATACTCTGTGGGTCTTGACCCCTACGGGTGAGTGAGAACTGGGGACTGAGTGGGCTGTGCCCAACTGACAGCTGCTTCTGAGGTGGGGTAAACGGCCTTTCCTGGAACCTGAAAAGAATTACAGGCTGAAAGGGGAGACACAGGATCGGAAGGGGCATCTAATGCAGCCTCTGGCTCTGAGAAGGGGCGGCCTTTCCCCACTGGCACACAAAGGGGGCTACACACAAAGGGGGCTACAGAACAAAGGCCAAGAATCCCCCTTATGACAGCCTCTGTTTCAGTCTATTCTCCCTTATTTCTAGGGGAGCAGAGAGAAGGAAACCTAGGCTGGACCTGGAGCGACTTCCTATCATTCAAGGATGATCCCAGACCAGACAACCAGAGGTCACCCATTTTGGGAGCCTTAGTCTTAGCTTTACCATTAAATGGCAGAAGGACCTTGGATATGTCCATTTCCTTTTCGGCCTCGGACTCCTTGTCTATGAACTGGGTGGACATGGGAAGTAACTAGATGATTCCAAATTATGGGTGCTTTTTGGTTCTGAGCACCTGAGGGGTTTTTGTTTTTGTTTTTGCAGTACTAGGGATTGAACCCAGGTCCTTGCACATGTCAGGCAAGTACCCAACTACTGAGATAGAACCCCAATCCTCCTTTTCAAACAAAATATTTTTAAAGATAGGGTCTCCCTCAGTTGCCCAAACTGACCTCAAACTCATGATCCTCCTGTGTCAGCCTCCCTAGTAGCTGGGATTACAGGCATGTGATACCATGCCCGGCACACCTAAGGTCTTGTTTGGGGTAGGGGCATTCCCTTTATCTTGGGGTGGGAAAACCCCTGAGAATATGGGCTCCAAATGTTAAAGAAACCCTCCCTGTGTCTCTCCTGTACCTTAGGAATGGAGCCATGTCTCCCTGTTCACCACGGGGTCTGGGGGAGGTAGAGGTAGGGAGCTTCAGCTTTCGGCTTGAAGAGGTATATGTCTTCCAGTCCACTGGAGGCAGTGGGCTCTGTGAGCGGCTGATGGTCATCACAGGCTGGGGCTGCAAGGGTCCATCCTGCACCCTCACTTCATGCTGCACAGGTGGGATTGGTGACTTTAGGAAGCTGCCCGGTTTGTGTGCTGCCAATACAATCCCCCAGAGAAAGGAGAAGAAGGAAGGGTTCAATTCCTGTTGCTGTAGGCCCATTGTTGTTCCCCAGCTCACTTTAGAGACACTGGGGTTTACAGTGGCAGGAGAGGTTTAGGGAACACGATCTGGTCAGAGAGCCCAGCTAGTGGAGTTGCTTAAAGCTACATTTGTATTATACAGCCACACTTTCATTAGATTTTATGTTTATTTGGGGTGGCTTGAGGTGCTGATGGAGCTTATGGAAGGACAAAAGACCTTCCAAGTCACACTTGGTGCCACCATCATGGACCCCAGAGCCAGACCTAAGCTCTGTGGAGACGCAACTTGACCACTGATTCTGAGTGTGTCGCACTCCATCTTGTGGCTATACTTAGTACTGCTCCATGGCTGCCCTGCTGTAGTGTCCTCCTGATCCTCTCCCACTCCTCCCCGCACACCTCAAGCCCCTGGAGGAGGGACCTGCCTCCCCACTCCGCTGCTGACCTCCTCGCCCAGAGCTACACCTAACCAACCAGCCCCACAGGGGAAGACTCTTGGGGGACTCACAGAGGGACGTGCACCGGCAGGGGTCATGTTTGTCCAGATAATGGCCCAGCGTGTCCCAGCCGCCCCCCACACGCACCATCACGTGGTTCCGGAGGATCTAAGGGGGGCAAGGGTGAGGTTGAGAGGACAGTGGAGGGTATGCCCTCTTCCTGGACCAACTGACAGGCTTCTGGCACACACTCAGGGATACACCTATCCATGTACTCATGCACACACAGATACTCCCTTGCACACATATGTGGTTGGAAGCAGGCATATTTTGCAATCTCGTCTTCTCCATGACTGGCTTCAGATAACACTTGTTGTCTAGGGTGGGTAAACTGTCAAACAGAAAATTGCCCCCAACTGGACAAGGGATCACATAGGCATTGATTAGGTAGCCAAGCCCCAAGGCATTCCCTTCTCTCCCTTCATTGCAGAGGGGTCTGTGCCCACCCACACTTGTATCTGACAGGAGCCCTAATGTCCCTGTGTTGCCTCTGTGTGTGGTGTGCATGTGTGTGTGTGTGTGTGTGTGTGTGTGTGTGTGCTTGTGATGGAGCCCATGGGAGTCCCACCCTACTTTATGCTGAGGCAGATCACAGAATCTCTCCAGATTTCCATTTCCTGAGCTGAAAAGCAGAGCCACAACTCCTGCCCCTGCATACATCACAAGTCCTCAAGGTAGGGGTAAGGGCTCAGGTTGCTGACTCTGCTCCCAGATACACCCAATGCCCAAGGAAAAAGCTTGGCCGTGCTGGAGCTTCTGGCACACCCTGGCACAAACTACTTCCGGGAAGGGGCAGCCAACTATAGGGGGTAGTGGCACATCTCAGACATGCACTGCTACTCACTCACCCCTAAGCAGGGGTGTGAGGGATGGACTTTGGGGTCTATGTGGCTGGGGCCATGCACTGAGCACAGACTTGGGTTTTCAGACCCCTTGTTCTGACCTAGCCTGTGGATGGAGTGGAGTAGAATGGAAAAGTGAGATGCCTTCTTCATACCCCTCTTCTTCCTGGGGGCACCCTCTAGACCTGGCTATGGTGGAGTTAAAGGAAGGTGGTGGTTCTGGTTGCCCTGATGGGAGGACAGCATAGGCTTGCCAATTCTGCCAGGTATCTCCTAGAAATCTTGAAGGGAACAACAAGAGAGTCCCAAGGCCTGATGACCTATGTATGGTGACTTCCTGTCTTTGACCTTAGCCTTGGGCAGGGTTCCATGGAAAGAACTCCATTATGCTCAGCTTGGAGTTCCCTCTACTCCAGACCAGACTTACCCGGATGAAGATGAGGGTGTTGGAGTCCCCTACTTGATACTTCCCCTCAGATACCTTGACCATGGAGAACTGCACTGGGCATGTACAATGACTCACGAGGCTCTGCACCTGTGGGCAGTGGTCACAGGGCTCAGCCCTCCCCTCTGCCTGGATACCCAAGTGCCCCTCATATGCTGGGTCAGACTAAATGGGGTCCTACATGCCTCTAGAGCCAACCCGTGCCCCAAACTTGGTACTGAGGTTAGTGCTGAGGGCTGAGGAGAAAGTAGAGAGACTTTAACCCAACCAGAACAAGACTTGGAGCAGTCACCTCTGGACCAGTGCTCTCCTGGGTCACCTGGCAGAGGTGGTGGAGTGTAATGGCTAAGTAGGTGGACTGTGAGATCTAACAAGCTTGGGTCAGAGTCCTACATCCACTGCATCATAGGCCCTTAAGAACTCCCTGAGGAGTTCAAGACCAGCCTGGGCAACATAGCAAGACCTTAGCAGAAAGAAAGGAAAGGAAAGGGAAAAGGAGTCTCCCTGAGTCCCATCTTCCCCAGTGGTAGAAATGGGTTAATCACAGGAAAAGCTAATTCACATGGTGTATCCCTCTCTGCAGAGACTGTCCCCACACTTCTCTTAAGGGAACACAGGCACAGAGGTTAAATAATTTGCCCGAAACCACACAGTGAAAACTTGAGCTAAGGTGCCAGCAAGGATGGCAGAGTCTGTTCTTAACGTGTGTCCCACGGGGTTAAATGAGAGAGATGCGCAGTGCTGGGTTGGTATGGCGTCGCCATTGCTCTGTGTGGTTAGAGTTGGTACTAGACTGGAACATGACTGTCACAGCCACGTGGTGGGGACTGGAGCTCAAAGAGGGAGTGAGTCAGAGCGGGCTGGGCTGGGATGAGGGAGAGGAAGGCAGAAGGCAGGCACCTCACCATCTGGTCCAGGTTGTGGAAGTGGCAGGACTGGCGCTTGGGGGGCGCAGTCGGCGGGGGGTCGGGCGGGGACAGAGCCAGCTCCTGCCGCAGCTCCTCATTGATCTCCTCTTCCAGCTGCACCAGGGTGGGCGCCGCCACTCCAAAGCGCCAGGCGCGGCGGCCCAGCTCCAGCAAGCACAGCACCACGTTCTTAACGTTCTTCCGCAGCACCAAGTCCTCGGTCTCGAACATCAGCACTTCTGGTGTGGACCGGATTGGGCGGGGGGAGGGTGGGGACAACATGAGTGAGTTCCCTGCTGACCTCCCAAAGAAGCCCTAGGCACCCTTCCCAGACAGGTTTCGGGATCTTGGGATGAGACAGCCCCTAGGAGAGGTCTGGGCAGCCTGGCTCAGGTCCTGGGTGCAGACGCGACAGCCGAGCCTACAAGAGAGGCTGGGGGTGTAAGAAGAGGTGGCACAGCAGACAGAGCACAGGAACCCAGAGCCTGCCTGGGGCTGTGGGAGAGCAGGGTGAAGGGTTCCATCCATCTTGCTTTCCTACAGGCTCAGCTGCCTGGATGGTCCAAGAGTGGAGGCAATTTGGTCCACTTCCCTCTTCCCACCTACCCAGGAGGCACCTGAAACGCAAGCCCCAGTCCAGGCAGAGTTGAGTAAAGGCCCACCCATCATTGTGTGACCTTGTGCGAGTCCCGGAGCCTCAGTTTCTTCTGTGAAATGGGAATGTAGTTTACTGCATGGGGTTGTTGTGAGGAGTGGACGGTCCTTAGCATTTGCAGATCATATTTACCACAGGAAAAGTGCCCCATAAAACACCTTTACAAGGGGGAGGGAGTTTCCTGGGGATGTGACCCAGAACCTAGCTCACCTTAAACACACGCTGTACCACACATCCCCAGTCCAAACACTAGTTTTTATTAACTCTCCAATCCTTTTTCATACTGTTTTGTCACCTCAAGCCTGACCCTTCCCCTGTCTCACCCCCAATACCTTTGGTCTGGAGGGTGATGCAACATCTTGCCTGGCGCCATTCCTGGGTCCAAGGCCAGGGAGATGAGGGATCCTGACTGTTCACTCCCCCTACAAGCCCCACCACGACTGTGCTCCTCTCTCACGTTCTCCCTCCTGTCTCTGAGTTCTCTCCCCATCCAGCCACCGGCCCTCTCCACCCCAGCTTCCCCCAGAGCCTTTCTTGCACCTTTGCCTCTGCTGTCCCCCAGCCTAGAATTCTCTTCCCCAGACTTCTCTTCACTCCTCAAGATTTAATCCATCTCTCTTTCCTCTGTGTGGCCTTTCCTGGCTCCCCTGCACATACACCTGGACTTTGAGCATGTTTCAGCCTGGGCTGTGATTTTCATCTCTACTCCTCTGTCTCTCTCACTAGACCACATATTCCTTGAACACAGGGTCTCATTTCTCTCAGGCCTTCCTGCCCAGTGTGGTGGTCCACACAGAAGAGGTGCTTCATATATGTAGGTTGAGTGAATTGTCAACAAACATTGATCCATGGTCAACATGTATTTACTGATGATTTATGATATGTGGAAACTGAGGCATGGAAAGAGCTGAGCTACCCTAAGGTAAATCTGGAAGAAATACCCAGGCTTCTGACCCCCAGATCTAGCTTGGGTCTCAGAGGAGATGGGCGCCCCACAGGATAAGGTCTGGGACAGGGTAGTTACCTTGAATGCCCATCTCCTTGCGACACCACTGGATGAAGTTGGAGACGTTGTCCCTGGCCTGGAAAGTACCTGGCTGGGCAGACCCATTGCAGGAAACCCCAGCCCGGGGCATGGGAATCGTCTGGGCTCGAGCAGGTGCCTCAGTCAGGAAGGCCAGGGCAGCCTCTGTGATGGTGTTGGCATGCTGGCACAGCACCAGGCCCGTCTCCAGCATCTGCAGGAAGTTGGCTGCATCAATGTTCAGCCCATAGAGATCCCGAAGCCACTCCGCCAGGTCTTCCTTCATGGCCTCCAGGTACTGTTCGCTGGACTTGAAAGGCCGGATGCTGCACACAGGAGGCTCCAGAGCACCAGGCCTTCTCCTGCGTCCCCTGTGAGACATGACTGGAACCTCAGCAGGAGAGGAGGTAGCCGCCTCCTATCTCCCACTGCTGTCTTCACTGCTACTGCTTGTCTTGACCCGTTTCTCTCCGGATGGGGGTCTCCTCCTACCCTCGGAGAGCCCAGGACTTCTGGTGTTGCTGCTGCTTGCTTATGGCTTCAGCCTCACAGTCAAGCCCAGCCTCCCCGCCCCCACACACACACATTCCTCAGTCCCTGCCAGAACTTTCCCTGTTTGGTGGCCCTGTAGCGAGCTCACTCTTGGCTGCCCAGTCCACTCAGAGTTCAGCACTTCCCAGGATGGGTAGAGGTGGGGACACTCCTCTCTCCCCCAGGGCTGGACAGGTCAAGCTGCTGCCCCTGATCTGCCACTGCTACTGCTACTGCTCAAGAATCTGGCATGATTGCGGCCTCACAGCCTCACTGCTCTGCTTTCCTCTCCTCTCCTTGGAGACAGCGGCTGCTACAAACACTCCTTGTTAACCCTTCTTACAGGCACAGTCTACCTGCAGAGCAGGCCTTGGAGCCAAGGGAGCAGAGCAGAGAGGCTGGGGCTGGGGCTAGGGAACCTAGGGGAGTTGGGGAAGAAAGCAGGGGCAGAGGCTGCTGTGCCCCTCGGGGTTCAGTGAGCACTGGAGGCCAAGCATGAAAGAGACACAGAAAAGGCAGGTATTTTGCCCTAAACCCCTATGTGAGTAGCACATATTACCCAGCCCACCTGTGCCTTAGTTTCCCAACTTAAAATGGGAATGATAATGTCTGTCTCTCTGGAGTGTTGTGAGTAAAAAAGAAGCAGACCAGCAGAACAAACAGGTCAGAGGGCGGGGTTCCAGCTCTCAGTGATTCTTCTGGCAGCCTTGTCTTTGAACCAGGGTTCCCAACTTCTCTGTAGAACCTGCTCCATCCCTGCTGTAGCTATGTGATCCTTCTAGAACAGGTGTCAATCATAGCACCTCATCTCCATGGCCACAGCAAAGCAATCATTCAGCAAAGATTTCTTTTGGGGGGAAAAACTCATATGTATTTTATTTTTGAATTAGCATACATTAATAATATGGGGAGATTTCATTGTGGTAATTCCACACACATGTACAATGTACCTTGAACAAGTTCACCCCTTCCATTATATTTCTATTCCCCACTTCTTCTCCCAAAGCAAATATTTCTTGAGCATCAACTATGCACCAGACACTATTGTAGGCCTAAGGATATAGCAACAAACAAAAAAGAACAGGGCTCTTAACTCATGAAAGCTACTTATATTACTGGGTAATGGTTGACAGCTGAACAAATAAATCTGTCTAGGTATGGTGGTGCAAGCCTGTAATCCCAACACTTCGGCGTCTGAGGCAGGAGGGTCACGCATGAGTTTGAGGTCAGCCTGGATTATGTGGCGAGACTCTGTTTCAAAAACCCCAAAACAAACACACAAGTCACCAGGACACAATTAATCTGCAGTAAGTCAGATGGTGATAGATACTATGGAGAAAAATAAAGAAGGAAAAAAGAAGAAGCTGTGAGGAGATTTAATAGAAGGTCACCAGGGAAAACCTTAGTGACAGGTGACATTTAGAGAGAAGTGAGGAAGTGCACCCTGCAGCTGTCTTGGGGGATGAGTGTTCAGCAGAGGGTGCAGCCTGTGCAAAAGTTGAGACTAGCAGAGTGGAAAGGTATGAGGCTGAGAATAAATGTGGCCCCAGATCATGCAGGATCTCATAGGTGACTCCAAAGTGAAATGACAAATGCATTCATAGAGAGTTTGGGGCAGAAGAGGGACATGCACTAACTCAAGCTGCTGCGTGGAGGAGGACTACAGGACCAGGGGTGGAACCGGGCAGCAGTTAGGCTGTTGCTATCATCCAAGGAGAATGGTGGCTTAGACCAGAAGCCACTGAAGGAGGTGATGACAAGTGGTCACAGTCCACGTAACGATGGAAATGTGGAAATGCTCCAAACAGGGTTTCTCAGCCTTGGCAATGAGGACGCTTTAAGCTGAATGGCTATTAATTTTGCAGGCTGTCCTGTGTGCCATAGGATGTTGTAGTATCCCTGGCCTCTACCCACCAAATGCTGACAGTACCCTCCCTCCCCATTACAGCAATCACAAATGTCTCAGCCATTGTCCCATGTCCTCTGGGGGACACCCTGGGGGCTACTGATCTAGGAGATGAGCATGAGACTCAACCTACTTAGAGCCCTTTTTGGTTTTTGTTTTTTGTCTTTCTCAGCACTGGAATATAAACTCAGGACTTCACACTTGCTAGGCACATAAACTATACTCCCAAATCCTTTTCCTTTTTGCTTTAATTATTTTTCAAATAGGGTCTCACTTTTATGCTTGGGCTGGCCTGGACCACATCTGCCTATTTATACTTCCCCATTCAGCTGAGATGACAGGCACCCCACTATACCCAGATTTATTGGTTGGGACGGGGGTCTCGCAAATATTTTGCCTGGGTTGGCCTCAAATCTTGATCCTCTGAATGTCTGCCTCCTGAATAGTTGGGATTACAGGCGTGAGCCTTCATATCCAGCTTCTCTGAGCTTTTTAAATCAAAGCTACAGGGGCAGATTCTTTCCCAAATTGGATGGGTAAGATTTTAGAGATGTGGACCTGGAGACATGTTCCCAGCACACAGAAAGCTCTTCTGCAATAGGAAGAAGGAAACAGGCACACAAAAGAGCACAGAGATGCAAGGACAGAGGGCCTGAGGATGTCTGAGCCCGTGCTTCTGCTATCTTCAGACTAGTTGCATGTCTGCCTCTGTTAGTGACACCTAGGCCAAGCTGCTGTACATAGAACAAAAAGACCACCTATAACAGTGGCGCTCACAAGAGGAAAGATTCTCTCTCTCAGGTGGATCATCAAAGTGTGGCTCTGGAGACCTGGGTTCTTTCTATCTTGCTGCTCCCTCAACTGCTGTTGCTACCTACATGATCAATTCTGATTTCCCAGATTTTGTCTTCTTCCAGGTTGCAGGAATGGAGGACAGAGAGCATAGCTTCTCTGTCTCTATGCTGGAGGAAGCCAGCTAGCTTCTTTTTTAAGGATGTGATGTGGAAGTTATACACAACACTTCCTCTCACAATTTAGGCATTGGCCTTTCCTAGCTGTAAGGGAGACTGAAAGTGCAGCTGGTAGTCCTGTGCCTCGTGAATGTTCAGCCACGAGGGAAGAAAGGAGATGGGGTCATTTACAGACCCCAAGCAGACCTTGCTTTATAGTTTGTGTAGAGGACCACAAAGCAAACATTTTAGGCTTTTGCGGGTCACATACTGTCTGTGTCACTTATTCTTCTTCATTTTTCATTTTTTTCTTTATAATCCTTAAAAAATAATATGAACTATTCTTAGTTTAAAGGTCATACAAGAGCAGGCTGTGTGTGGATTTGGGTTCTAGTTTGCCAACCCTTAGATTACATGAATGAATAAATTCCTTTTTTGGTCTTTTTTTAGTTCAGCACAATCTTTACTCTTTAACCATTCTGTATAGGACAGGAATAATAATAATTATTATTATTTTCAGTGCTGGAGACTCAAGCGCTCTACCACTGAGCTACCCCAGGGATTTCACAAACGTGTGAAATGGAAGAGAACTATAATAAGCATCTAGTTAATTCTGAAGGGGAATTGGGTGGAGGTGTGTTCCATTTGGAAGATTTAATGATGGAAATAAAATGTGAGCTGGGTTTTGAGTAAGAACTGAGAAATTCTGTGCTCACACTTTTACTAGGTCAGAGAACATCTTAATTAGCAGGAAGAGGCAGATGGAGCAGTGACAGAGAAAGGGTCCACCCACCCTTTTATTCTTCAGTGACTTTGAGTTGCTTTGCTGTCAGTTATAGCCTAAATGAATTTGGAAGAAAAAAGCAGTGAACAAAGTGGAGTTCTCCCATCCTCCCTCCCTTGTACAGAGGCTATCAGTAACCTCTCTAAAAGGGCATTCATTTTATGGTCTAGATTCTGAGCCCTCATGCTTGTGGGAGTTCCCCACCCAGAAGAGTCTGGTTCCATGTTTGGAAGCTTTACAGGTCCCACATATCATGGGCATATGACCTTGGTTGATCCAATCCACCCACCTAGATCATGACATGGGACCAATGGTATCCAAAAGCAGCAAAGAACTCATTCTGGGGTACCAGTGTTGACATCCACATCTGATTCCTGGAACCATAGTGGCAGGGGTTTCATAATCCTATTCTGGGTTAAAATTTTAGTTATGGTGCTGGATCCCCACATCATTTTCATCTGCCTGTTTGGTGACTCTGTGGGTTGGTCAATAACCTTTCAGAAAATTCCTTTTCTGCTCAGGTTAGCCAGGACTTTTTTCTATTGCTAACAACTAAGACCTCAAACATGCACACACATCCTTCAGGGCCTGTCCCTGTCTCCCAACCCCAGGGGCCACATGTTCCTTCTCAGTCAGCTCTTACACTTTACTTTAGTGAAACTCCATCCCAGGGACAAAGGCAAATGGCTACTGAAAGCAGCGCATCTTCCATTATTCAAAGAAGGAGTCTGTGATTGTTTCCTAGGCCAGTTGTCTGAACGAGGGTGGGGAGAGGTTGTCTAAGCACTTGCACAGAAGGGCACTCTTCCTAGAAGGCAAAGAGGCCCAGTACAGGGAAGCTGAAGCAGGCTATCAGATTCACAGGGTCTGTGTCTTAGCTGGGCACTGGTGGCTCACACCTGTAATCCTAGCTACTCAGGAGGCAGAGATCAGAAGGATCACAGTTCAAAGCCAGCCTGGGCAAATAGTTTGTGAGAACTTATCTCAAAAATACCCATCACAGGTAGCCCCCAGAATTCAGTGTATCCTGGGCCTAAGTAACTGCCTGGACTGGGGCAGGAAAGGATGGAACCCAGTGGATGGACAGCTGAGGAGGAAGGAGAGGCAGGGAAAGCGGGAAGAAGAACCAAGACTTCTGCTTCCACACCATCCTATCTGTAGGAGAAAAATGTGGCATCAATTGCCAGTGACTATAGTCTGGAGGTGTGGCTCAAGTGGTAGAGTACCTGCCTCAAAAGTGTGAAGCCCTGAGTTCAAATATTGCTTAAAAAAAATCCAGTGAAAACCAGAGGGTTTTTTTATTTCCTGAGAGGTCTCAGAACAAGCCATGAAGCCTGCCTGAGTTGCCTTTTGGGGACAAGGAAATGAATACACCTCCCTCCCCACCTTGAGCAAATTTAAAAGGATGATAGGAGGCAAAAATGAAATTGCTTTATAACTATATTTCATAAGTGCTCCTTGATAAAAGGTACCAGTTTCAACTAGTCCAGGCTAGTTGGAAATCCCATTTTTTTTTGGCAGTATGGGGTTTTGAACTTAGGGCTTTGTGCTTCCTAGAAAGGCACTCTACTGCTTGAGCCACAACTCCGGCCTGGCAACCCAATTTCTTTCTTTTTTTGTTTTTTTTTTTTGCCATTGGTTGGTTTAAGAATGGTTTTGTGACTAGTTTTAGCCAATAAGCTTCAAAGTGAAGTCTGCTGCCAGGCACCACATGTTCATCACTGCACTTCACACATTATTGGAAAACTGTCCAAACCTTTTCTATGTCTTAAATACAGATTTTTAAAAACCTACTCAAAATAATTTTGTCTTAGCTGGGCACTGGTGGCTCACTCCTGTAATCCTAGCTACTCAGGAGGCAGAGATCAGAAGGATCACAGTTCGAAGCCAGCCTGGGCAAACAGTTTGTGAGAACTTATCTCAAAAATACCCATCACAAAAAGGGCTGGAGGAGTGGCTCAAGGTGAAGGCCCTGAGTTAAGCCCCAGTACTGCCAAAAGAAAAAAAAAAAAAAAGCCACAAGACCCTATCTGAAAAATAACTAAAGCAAAAAGGGCTGAGGTGTGTGACTCAAGTGGTACAGCACCAGCAAGTGCAAGGCCCTGAGTTCAAATCCCAGTAACAACCCCCACATTAGCGTTTAATAGGAAAAAAATATCTATTTTTTTGAGACAGACTCTCATTATGTAGGTCAGGCTGCTCTCAAACTCTTGATCCTCTTGCCTCAGCCCCCAGAGTGCTGGGATTACAAGCATGCACCACCACACCAGGTTAGTAGCTTTGCTTTTGATAACTGGCCTCATCTTGCTCTCTATGATTTCTATGCAATGTTGGAAACAATGTTCAGGCTTGCCAATAAATACAGCTCCTTCTCTTCTGATGTCAAACCATGGAGATCCAGTCCATACTGAATTCGCACTCACTGTCAGTGCAGTTTCTTGTCTCCCTAGGGGGTGCTCACGCTCATGTTTTCACAGATGACTGTTATCACTCTGTGAGATCACTTTCTGATATTCTTTTATGCTGATGTTGTTTTATGAAAGTCCCACAAAACCAAAAATGGCCCCAAGAAGAGGGAATGCACATTTTCAGATGCAAAGGGCTGCTGGATGGATTGGGAGTGGGGTAGCAGGTGAGATGAATGCCTGGGCCTGGGGACACCTCATGATGGTGTCTTGGTGGGATGCTCCTGAAAGCACAACTTGGGCTCGTGGGCTCAGTTGTGCCTGTGAGAGGCGTGAGATCTTAGGCAGTGAATGTAGGAGACTGCTCATGGTGCTCTGACAGTGGCCTCCTAACTGAACTGTTTCTGTGGGATGATTTTTGCTGAAGGTCAGACAGCTTTTACATGGTAGATCTGGGATTTGAACCCATCTATCAGGGGCCAAAGCCACCTTCTATTCTTTTTGATGCCTTCCCCAGAGGAAAGGTGGGGAGCACTTGAGTTTTCAGGGCTTCTGGAGGCACTTGAAAAGGTAGTTCTTGGGCGGAGCTGTATGGGCAGCTGAGGTTCTAGCCCCGCCCCCACTGCTTCGTGAGCCAACAGAGGCCCTAGAGACCTGATCAAGTTCTGTGGGTTCAGGGCACCCGCTCACACCCCAGGCCCTGGCCAGAGGGAGTGGGCAACACACCTTGGGGAAGAATGGATAAGCACGGTGAGTGGGACTGAGAAAGGCTGGAGACTAGGACAGGGCCTCTTGACCCAGCTTGGACCAACTTGTGCATCACCATAGCAACCCCAGAGGGGAAGCTGAGCCTTTTCTCAATGACCCATCTGTGTAGCTACAAGCCCTCTCCTTTCTCCTTCCTGTGTATTGTTGACATGGCCACTCCCTCGTCTCCACCTGCTCCGGTTCAGACCTTTGTCTCCTTACCCTCAACTTCGAAGTAACTTTTAAGACTCCCTCTGTCCTGTTGGAGGTACCATTCCTAACTGGTAGGCTCATGCAGGAGAACCTTTTTCTGTTTAGATTGCCCATCCGGGAACCTTTTCTAATGCAGAGGAGCTGTATGCTCACTTGCCTGCCCACTCTGTCACCAGTGATGCTGGCTAGGCTTCCCACTTTGAGGAAGGAATTTCACTTATAAAACAAGTTTAAAAACTATCACTTATTAAAATGATAATCAGTGTTTATTAACAGCATACAGAGATCTCCCCCACCCCACCGCCATTGGCAATCTACCGTTTGTTGATTGCTTGTTCCACGCCAAGCCCAATGCTGGGAGCTTTATCCCTAGTTAACCTCACAACCCGTGAGGTAGGCACTATTTTTCCCATTGTAGAGGTGAGGAAACGGAGTTTGATAGAAGCGTGGTGACTTGCCCTGATCCTTAGCTAGAAAGTACAAGAACCCCGGGAAATTGAGAGCAGCCGGCCTGCCGGGGGAAATTGCACTCTGAAACCCTGTCACGGAATCCCGCTGGCCCGGGGCATGTGGCCCATACTGTCCTTCAGGAACCTGCAGCAGTCAGGGTGCCCAGGCCCTCCAATAGGACAGTGTGACTGCACTGGCCTCCGTCCCACCCGCAGGCGTGAAGACCCCCTTGTGGAAGAAGGAACTGGAGGAGGCCGAGGCCAGGGAGGCGGAGCGGGAGGAGGAGGCCGAGGTGTCGGGGGAGGAGGACGAGCAGAGGCCAACGGCAGAGAACCCGGCGGAGGGCGGCGCGGAGGGCGAGACGGAGGCGCGCGAGCCGGAGGAGCGCGCGGCCGGGGAGCGGAGTTCGGTGTCCTACTGCCCGCTGCGCCAGGAGCCCAGCGGCCAGCAGGTGGCGCCGCTGAGGCGCGTGGACAGCAGCTTTTGGAGTTGGCTCAGTCCCTTAGTGCTGCTCGCCGGCCTAGCGGCTCCGGCCGAAAGGTAAGGCAGCTGGGGCTCGAGGGACCGGGTGCCGAGCCCCAAGGAGAAAGGACGCCGGGGCACTAAGCACTCAGGTCCCCGTCCGCAGGACGCGTCCTCTTCCCGAGGAGCCGTGCGTGTTGGAGACGCGGCGGCGACCGCCGCGCCACGGAGGCTGTGCGCGCTGCGAGATCCTTTTTTGCAAGAAATGCAGGAATCTGCACAGCCACCCGGCCTATGTGGCTCACTGTATTCTGGAGCACCGGGATCGGGGTAAGCAGGAAACCAACGGCGTGCTCGGAGTCTGGCCCCCAATTCTCTGCATCCTTCTCCTGTCCCCTGACACGGAGCCCTGTCCGGCACCTCCCACAGAACTGCTCCCTTGTCCGAGCCGCCTTTCGGAGCACGCCCTCTGGCGAGAAGGCACTGTTGGTGCGAGTCCCACCTGTCATCTAGCGGAGCCCCAAGCAGAGCCCAGTATGATCCAGAACCTCACTTCTGCCATAGCGCTCCGTGGAGGGCTCTCGCCCCAGGCAGCACCCAGCACCTACCACCCACCTGTTTCACGTCCTCACCTGCATCTCTTTCAGGTCCTTCCGGCAGAGACACCGCCTAGAGAAAATAAACTCCTGATTCCCTCATCCCTGTGAGACACTGCCCCTTTCCCTCGAGCCATTCAATAAAGCCTCTAACCAGAGTCAGTGCCTTGAGGCGGGGGCGAGTGATGAAGATGGGCCCCTCCTGCCTTCCTGTGGGTTCAAGCCAGAGAGAAAAGGGGAGGCAGGGAGCCTCTTCCCTTGCCTTCCCAGAACAGGGAGGTTCAAAGCCCTTGTGTCCCAGGGCAGTCAAAGGCCATTGTCTCCACTGCACAGAGAAGAAAGGAAGGCTCAAGGCCAGCAATGTCCCCGGGGAGGTGAGGGTTGCACCTCTGCTAGACTATTCCCTCCTCCCTTGGAAGCCCAGTTTGCTGAGGTCACTGTGTGTGCATATGAGGCACTGGCAGGTGTGGAGGGACGGGCGTGACTGGAGCCCCAGATGCTAAAATAAATGCTGAGACTGGCTGAGGAAGAAGACGGAGGCTGGGGAGCTGGTTCCTTCTCCAAGAATCTCAGCTATTCTTGGCCAGACAGCAGCAGCTTTGCGAATGCTATGTGTGTGGCCTGAAGAATGGGGCCATTGTGAGCACCAGGCCATCTCTCCCAAGCTGCAGAGCCCTGAGGAAGCTGCATCCCCAGGCAAGCAGCAGGGCAGGGACCCTCTGACATCTCTCTGCTATTCAGGGTTCTTCATCTGACCTGGTTGGGGGAGAGAACGTTTTGCTTTCTGAGGAGGGACAGGCCCCCTCCCTACCATAATCACACAAAGCTGGCTTGCTGTGATTTAGATGGAAGAGCATGGTCCCTGTCTCCACATCTGTGTCCACCTGCACTCACTGGGAAGGATAGAAGAATTGGTCCAAGGAAGGCAGCTTCCATCTCTAGGACCACCAGCTGGGGGTGTCTCTTTATTCTTGTCCCAGACAAAAAGCCCAGGGCCCAGGATGCCTCCTCCTGCTCTGCATCCTGTCTCTTAAAGGGCCTCGGATGTTGAAGGCCCTGATGCCTTTGCCCCATCCAAGCCTCCAGAGGGTGAGGCCTCTGATGAAATGAGACATGATTTCCCCAGAACAGAGCCAGAAGGGCCCTAGGAGAGGGACAGTCTTGCAAAATAGTCCCGACCTCTCCAGTGAGTTTTGCATCTCCCTGGTCGAATCCCAGCACTCCGGCCTCCTTGAAGGAACTGCACCCTTAGCAGAAGAAATACAACTCCCAAGGCTGGGGAAGGAAAAAGGTCTTTTGGGAAAGAGTTATGGTATCTAGGATCCTTTTTGGCTTCTCCTTAGATCCCATGCCCACCTCCATATTGTAGGACCAGTACAAAGACTACAGTGTCCTTCAGGAACTAATGCAAACTTTCTGATGTAGACCTGTGCTGCCTGGTCTTCTGCAAGGAGGTTCAGAGTTTTCCCAGACAGGCTGTACCCCCGGGGCAGGGGAAACGAGTTGGTCCAGAGGCACCAGTAGCTCATTCAGTGGTGGGGTGTCTTCAAAACAGGGAGCCCCCTGAGTTGGCATGCCAGCAGCCCATCCAGGGAAGCTCAGTGGCCCAGCGGCCCGAGGTGGTCACTCTCAGCTTGCCTTGGTCAAGGTGCCAATAGTGGTCATCTCTGAAGAAGATGATGGAGCCATCAGGCCTTGGCAGGGCACCACTGACCTCCTCAGGAACCCCATCCCAGTCCCGCAGGCCACGGGGGTAGTAGGGTTCCACTTGCAACCCGCCTCGAGTCAGCACATAGTAGCGAGCACCCTTGAAGAGGATGAGACGGTGCAGAGGAGGGAAGAAGAGGGCTGCATCAGGATGGCGGGGCAGACCCCCTGCGTGGCACAGCTGTGAGAATTTCCACACTGGCTCAGCACCCCGGAACCTCCAGCATCGACTCCCTGTTGGGCATCAAAAGAGCCAGGGTGAGCTGGAAGCTCTCGCTTATTGGTCCTCCATCCCAACTCTGTCCCTTCTACTGCCCCTCAAGTTGTAATCCAAGGTCGTTAGCATTGGGAACTGTCAAAGTGGACTACATAGGAATTCTCTGCAATAGGGGAAGGGCGGCTATTGTCTAGACTCCCAGAAGGTGTCAGCAAAGGGCAGACAACGCTGAATGAGCCTCTCTGTCGCAGGCTTGGGGGTGGAGGGAGGACTGAGTCCCCTCTCTGGCTGAGGAATGGAAAACCAGGAAGGCTTGGAACATTCTGCACTGCCATTATGATTAATAATTCTACAAAGGCAGGGAATCTTGTTTTGTTCGCTGCTGTATCCCTAATACTTCCAACTGAGCCTAGGGCATAGGAGGCATTTAATATTGGCTGAATGGATGAATGCAATTTGCTGAAGTATTACCATGTATGTAGTAATATACTGCACACATTTCACTCATTACTGTCTCTTAACCTCCTTCCCTAACAAACCTGAGGTATTATTTTCGCTATTCAAGAAACGTAAGCTCCAAAAGTTAAGTGACATTCCCAACCTCATTCACCCAGGGTTCCACAGAAGACACCCCTCTTAGAGCTCGAGTGGTCTTCAGTTTCCCTGTAGATCCTTTTCAGAAATGCCCCCCCAGTGACAACCTGGACACCTGCTGCTTCCCACTCCATTGCTTAAAGATATTTCCTGGTAGAGTCTTCCCTAGGTCACAGGGTTCAACTTGGAGAAGAGACTCCACCAGGACTCACTGTCTGAAAGCTTCTCCCTTTCGATCTTGGGCAGGACATCTTCCCTCTCCAAGCCTCAATCTTCTCAGCTGCCCCAGGGCTGGTACCTTTGAAAAAGTAGAAGTCCCCATCCTCTAGTGACACTGCAGCAGCCTCGATGTTGGGGGGCAGCCCGGCCCACCTTTTCTGTAGCGGTCGGGGCTCAGAGACATTGCCATCAGCTGTCACCTCCCAGAAGTGGCTCCCCTTAAAGATGTACAGTCGTTGTTCCCCATCTGCCCAGAGACAAGAGAGACTTGAGGAAGGACATCAGCTTCCTGACATCTTTCTGAGAAGGTGGTATCTTAGATCCCAGCTTTCCAGACAGCAGAGGGTGGGGCGTGTACAGGTGGATAGAGGGGAAGCCAGCAGGAGGAAGCAGTGTTTTGCTTGGTAAGAACGTGCAGAATGAGTGTGACTTGGGACTTCTGGAGTCTATAACCCATCCCCCCACTTTGTACTCCAGCTTTGGGGAACCCTGAAGGTGTAGAGGAAAAGGGAAGAAAAGACAGGTGTGGGTTGGACCACTTACCTGCAGTGATGGCATCGAAGGAAGAGTGGCAATATTTAGGGCCCCGGTTTTCAGGGCGCTTGCCCTGGGAGTTGTGGGGGTCCCAGGCCTCAAAGTCAGTGAATAACTTTCCTGGGAGCTGGATAGCCACTGAGCGCCCCAGGGGCTTCCCTTTAAGGGCAAAAAGAGAAGAGGAAGGGGATTTGAGGTGGAGTATATTGAGTGCTCTAGATCCCCTTCCTGGCTCCTTCCATAATGAGCTCATGTGAGGCGTGGAGGAGGAGAATGGGAGGGGAGTTAAGAGAGGCCCTGGTTGTTGGTGTCATTCTTAAGCCCAAACCCAGGCCTCTCCTCTCTACCCAATAGCCTAGGAAGGAAGGACCCACTGAGATCACACTGGAGCTGGGGACCAAGCAATGGTTTGGAGCTAAGGAGAGCAGGGGGCCTCCTCTCCTAAAGTCCTGGGCAACACAGGCAGCATGAGAGCCTTCTCTATGGGAAAGACCGGGGCTGTGGTTGCCCCATTCTTGCTGGGAGTCGGATAGATTGGGATGCAAGAGGCCTACTGTGGGGTAGCTATGCACAGGAATTAGTGAGCAGAGAACAGAGACTGATGGCGAGATGGGGACCACGGACTGGGGAGAACAGAAGCATGAAGATTTTCGGATTCGAGGGCAGCCTGGGGCTTGAGGATGGAGAAGGACCCGTGTCACCAGGGAGGCCAGCTCCCTGTGCTCAGGATGAGAGCATCCTATTTGAGGAGCCAAAGTCCAAGGACTGGAGGCCTGAGGGACAGGGGCAGCACCAGCCGCGGGCTAGGGGCTCACCATACAGGTTCTGCACCGCCAGTACATCGTCCCAGCTAAGCAGCGCGTCGCGGCCCAGCCTCTTGTAGTAGGGCGCCATGAGCGCGCGCGGGGCGGGTGAGTGGGTGAGGCCGAGCGTGTGGCCGATCTCGTGCGCCAGCACCACGAACAGGTTGCGTCCGCGACGGCGGTTCAGGGACCAGCGCTCGTCTCCATCAAAGTGCGCTTCGCCCCGGCGGGGCAGGAAGGCGTGTGCCAGGGCGCCCCCTGCAGGCGGCGCAGAGCGTGAGCGGGAGCCACGACCGCGACTCCCTCCCCCCCCCCCCCCCCCCCCCCGTACCCGTGGCCTAGGGCGAAGGCACTGGGTGTGCGTGGCTGTTTTCTGCTGCCTAATTTCCCTTCTAGTTAAGTTTGGTAGAAGCTGGAGGGTGGGAAGGTGAGCAGATGACTAAGCTGTGGGGTATAAACTCCTGAGAGGCAGCCTGGGGCCAAACTGCGTGGGTTCCAATCCTAGATTTGCCATTTACTAGCTGTGTGATCTTGAGCAAGCAGCTTAACGTCCCTGTGTCTTAGCTTCCTGATCTGAAGATGGGAGTGGTGATGACGAGCTTTTTACTCACAGGGTTGTGAAGAGTGTGTGTGTGTGTGTGTGTGTGTGTGTGTGTGTGTATTAGGTGTTTCACATTCGGTTGTGAGTGTGTGTGTGTGTGTATTAGGTGTTTCACATTCGGTTGTGAAGAGTGTGTGTGTGTGTGTGTGTGTGTGTGTGTGTGTGTGTGTGTGTATTAGGTGTTTCACATTCGGTACTCAGAATAGTGTATAGCACATAAGTGCTACCTAAGAATTATTTTCAAAAAGATGGAGGAATAGTGGCTACTCCTAGAAGGGGGCTGCTAGGGCCTTCTGTTTCCTGATCTGGGTGTTGGGTGTGATGGTTCATCAGTTTGTAAAGTTATGATGTTTCACTGATATGGGTTTGTGTATTTCCTTTCACTTTTTTTTTTTTTTTGAGACAAGATTTTGTTATGTAGCCCAGGCTGTCCTGAAAATTTTCATTCTTCTGCCTCAGCCTCCTTAGTGCTGGTATTATAGGCATGCACGTGTATGCATGTTTTTGAAGTATACATATTCTTGCATTCCTACCCATCCTCTGCAGGGCTCCTCTGTGAGCTCTCCCTACTCATCATAGGAGTAAGCAGAGGAGCTTGGGCTGATCAATGCTCTCAGAGGGGTCAACATGGAGCTTATTAGATCTGCAGTTTCTAGGACCCCTCTCCTCGGGTGACCTTGACACAGGGGTCAGCAAACTGTTCTGCAATATGCTGGCTTAGAAACTTGCGGAGTGTCCCTCCAGCTTTGCTTCTAGGAGCCCAGCCTTGCTGGGATTGACAAAAGGTGGGAGGCTGGTGTTAAAGGCGAGCCTCCTGGGTGTGAGTATGGGTGTGGAGAGCTGACCACGGGAGGAATGTATGCCTCTCTAGCTGTTTGCAGCACTTGCAAACAATGAATGGGCAGGTTTTCAGGGAGGAGAAGACCAAAGTCAAAAAGACAAAACATGTGTCCCCAGTTAGCTGCTTGGAGAGCCCCAAGTCCTGACACCCAGGACAGTGCTGTCTTAGTCCTGTACTGTGCTGGGATAGGGAAGTAAGCGTGTCATGTAGCTATCATAAGTGATGTGTGCTACGTGAGGCACCTGTGTTCTGGTGAAGCCTGGATTTGTCCCAGTCCTAATCTGGCTCCCAGCAGCAGGGGCTGGTGTTGGGTTTGATGAAAAGCAGGATAGTGCAAGGGAGGGGGGGGGGCTAGTTCCCAGGCCACACAGAGCTGAAGTCCCCACCCTGAAGGGTCTGATCAGGTTTCCTTTCCTCAGTAGGAGAAAGATGCTCAAATAGCTCTTATTCCGGTTCTGAAGGCCAGTGTCTGGCACCATGGAGGGAGAAATGTTTAAATTGCAGCTGGAAGCCTTCAGGTTGGGGGCAGTTGGAGCTAGCTGTGGCTGTGCGTCCAGACAATACATATGATAGTTAGCTGGGAGCAGAGGGCAGCAGTGGAGCAGTGGTGGTCTTGGGTGTCTTTAAGGGTGTGCTCCAGAGAACGAGAAGCACAGGCCTGTCTGTAGGCAGGGGATGCGTGGTGACAGGACCTCAGAAGACACTCCCAGTATAAGTCATACTCTTTGAAGTTTGCAAAGTACTTTCAAAGCACAGTCTCGTCTGACTGTCCCTTTGGACATGTGGTGCATCTCGGGCAGGGACCACTGTTCCCATCTTACAGAAGAAGAGGGAGCTATGGCTTGGTCACAGCCACGAGGAGAGTGGATAATCCACTGTCACCCTCAGACTGCCTCTCCTAATCGGGTTCCCCTGCTGCCATGAGGACAGCAGCTTTGTGTCAGCACCTGGGCCATCGAAGGCGTTGCTCAGTCCATCATTGTGGTCCCCTTGGAAGAAGGTGAGGCGGATGTCAGCGGGGCCGGTGGCTGGGGCCTCCCAAAATTCCAGCGCTGAGACGTTGCTCCATAACTGGAAGGCGGCACGCACAGCCCCCCGTACAGCTGGCTCAGGTAGGTGCTCAGGCCAATTCACCAAGCGGTAGGAGAGGTGCTGCTTGTACCATTTGTTGCCTGCCACCCAGAAAGGCCACATCAGTCACACTCATCTGTCCCAGATGAGTGGGGGGCAGACTCTGCCCGGGTAGCCCTTGGCCTGATGGGGAAAGCACAGTCCTTGCCCTGGACATCCCCTGTTTGACTAGGGTGATACAACTCTGCTGAGGGGAACCCTCAGACTGGGAGGACTACCCCTGCCCTGGAGAGACCCCAGTCTAGTGGCTTGGCCTGGGGAGGTTCCAGGCACGTGGGAGAGATACAGCCTCCCCCTTCCAGAAGGATGTGTCTGAACCCCTGGTCTGGGGTCTTATTCTTCCCTAAATCCTAGGCCGAGCCAGAAGGAGGTTGGGGCCTCTTGCAGGCAGCTAATCCCAATCCCTGCCTCAGGGCAGAAAAGCAGTGGTGCTATGACACCAGTGTCACAGCTGTGACAGCCCTGGCTGCTCCCTCTACCCTTCACACCCTCCTGCCACCTCCACTCTGACCTTGCCAGGGCCCAGGGCCTGGGGCCCAGGGCTGGCCAGCAACCATAAGAGGCCCTTACGTTTGAGGCCCTTCCCCACCCCCTTGCCCTCCTCCTCGCTTCCTCAGGGACTCAGAGGAGCTCTGAGGTGAGGACAAATAAGAACAAAGGGTGTGTTTTGTCATAGACCCAGTGAAAGTTTTCCATCTCTTCTTAGTTAAGTTTCTCTCCCTTTGCCCCAAACCTCAGTTTTTCCCTGGGGGCTGGGCCTCTGGCCTCTGCACCAGCCCCAGGTCACAGAGTTGGGCCTAGCTATAGTTTGTCATGTGCTCAGGAACAGGGTGGCTTAGACGGTCTGGCTCCCAAGATTTTCAGGACCTGTTTCTGAGCCATGTAAACTCCAGAGGCTAAGACTGTGACCCCAAGTGGAAGACTCACGGTTTGGAGGCAGGACCCCTGAGCTTGGGGTGGGGTAACTGTGACCCAGGGGAAGGTGTCTTCCCAGGGTCACAGAATGAGTAAATAGCTGAGCAGGGCTCTGGACCACAGTCCAGTGCTCCCTCCACTACACCACACAGATAAGTAGATCCTTTGCTGAGATGCCAGGCTTATAAATCTGCCTGAACATCACTTGCTCGGGTCAAAGCAGCAGCTCTGCACAGGCTGAGATTCTCCAGATGGAAGGGAGAGTTTTAGAGAGCCAGGAGCTGGGTTTCCTCACCCTCCAACCATGGAAGGGGAAGAGGGGTGGGTCCTTCTCCCATCCCTGAGCCAAGCTCCATTCAAGGCAATGCTGCCTCCTAGGCTTGTTTGGCCTGGCGGTCACCCAGCCTCTGCCTCCCAGCCAGTGACCAGCCCTCAGTGAGGGAAGAGGGAAGGACTTTGAAGAAGGGAGGGAGCCAGGGAAGGCAGAGGCAAGGCCTGGGGTCCACAGGCACTGGCCAATGCTTCATTCTGTCTCAAAAACACTGCCAATCCTGTGCCAGGCTCTTTCACACCTTGCTGTGGGTAATGGGCTCCAGACTCTTTCTCCCTCCCACAATCCTTTTATCCTCCACATGAAGTGTGAGCTGGCTCCTTCTGCCCTTCTGTAGCTGGGGGTCTCTCACTCCATGGGCAGGAAGGGGGAGGGGAGGAATTCTCTCATTTTAGGTAGCCAGTGAAGGCTTGAGCTAGGTCTCAAAATAAAAATCCTCTGAAACTTGTGTGTGTGTGTGTGTGTGTGTGTGTGTGTGTGTGTGTGTTTTGGGGAAGGAGAGAGAGGAAGAATAAGAACAGTAATTGAGAGAAAATAACTGTTTTTCTTGGGAGGGAGACAGGGTTGGGGGGGTCACTGGTGTGCCTGCCAGGAAGGAAGGAACTGCCCCGGGGATGGGCAGTCTGAGCCCTCTCCTCTGTCCTCCTCCACATTGGAGGAGGCTGGCTGCTTTAGGCCCCATCCTAAATTCCTGGCTGTGCAGGACTGCTTTTCATGGAGACCCACCCAGGTCCCAGTAGCACCTGGCATTGATCCTCATGCCCTTGCTCCAGAATCCCAAAGGGAAGAGGGAAGGAAAGAGGGAGGGAGAGAAGAGCTAGACTCTCTGACTGGAAAGAGGCCTGAAGTCCTGACTCCCAACAGGCAACTGATGCTGTGGAAAGATTGTGGGTTCAAATCCCAGTACTTCTACTTGCAAACATATAAATCCCCATCCAAGCCTCAGTTTCCCCATCTGCCAAGTGGGCTGATAAGGCTTACCTCTTGGTACGGTGTGAGGCTCCAATGGGATAGCAACATGAAGCCGCCTGGCAAGTTTTGGATGCTCTGTAAATATTTATTTCCTTCTCCTTCCCTTTTCACCCCAGGTATACTCCCTTGTTCCTATCCCCATCCCCACCAACTCTATGAAGGATGAGGGGGGATTAAAAATCAGACCCACAGGCAGAGAAAGGAATCAGGTTGCCAGATTAACAAATAAGAACACAGGATGCTTAATTAAATTTGAATTTAAAAATAGAAGATTCAGATTTAACTGAGCATTTTGTATTTTATCTAGCAACCAAGTACCACAATCCTCTGTCCAAATTGCTTAGTGACAAATGTACTCCATGTGATCCTCCCTAGGGCATAAGAAGGTAAGACAGAGCCAGAAGGAAACATCCCCAGACCTCAGGCCCCAAGTACAGCTGCCAAAACTCTTTCTGGGGCTGCCCCATTTTCTACTGCACTCTTATAAGCCTGTGGAGCCATCAGGAATGGCTCTTCTCTGAAACCAGAGAAGGCCTGCATCCTACTTCAGGGAGGATAAGAGAATGAGTCCCAGGGAGCAAAGTGACATGGTCCAGGACACATAGCTGAGACTTGAACCCAGGACCACCAGCTCCCGGGATGGCACCCTCTCTGTTCTACCAGCCTCCTGAGCTTGCACCTCTCCTCTCCCACTTCATTCCTCTCCTCTGCTGCCCAGAAACACAGTGGACGTAGAACATGCTGACACCAAGGACATCTTAACCCTAGCACTAGGACCCCACTGCTGACTCTTTGACTTAGCAGGAAATCAGTCCGTGTATACAGAACACCCAGAGTGGCCAGCTGTGTAGGATGCAACAGAAATGGATTAGCAAATGCCTGGAAACAGCCATCCTCCAGTTGCCAACAATTTCCATGTGGATTAGCTAAGAAATGATAATAAATGATGTGCCTCCCGTCTTGTTTGTAATGAAGATTATCAGTAAAAATAGCACAATTAAAAGTGGCAAAGACCCAAATTGCTTACAGAAAAATTAATTATAGATGAGAACCAGACTGAATGAACCTCACCTTGTTAGCAATCTTGAAAACTGCAAAAAATTGATCAAAGAAAATAGACTTAGTTAAAGCAATCATGATACTAAAATTACACATAGTAAAACTTGTTATTTGTGAAAAATTGACAGAAGAATCAGATCTTCGTAAGTCTTAGATCTCTACCATTTAATCCTGGAATATTTCTTTTAAAAAAAAAGAGGAGGAGTAGGAGGAAGAGGAGGTAGAGGAAGGCTGGGGTGTAGCTCAGTAATACAGCTTGAGGTCCTGAGTTCCATCTCCAGCATCACAAAAAAGAAGGAGGAAGAAGAAGAAGAAGAAAACTGAACAAAGACCACACAGCAGAAACTAATGTGTAAAATGTGCTCTGATAAAATGTCAGAATAGGCAAATCCTTCGAGATAGAAAGTAGATTAGTGGTTACCAGGGGCTGGTGGGAGGGGCCGAGGGGGAGGGACTGCTAATGGGCATGAGATTTATTTTGGGGCTAATGACAACATTCTGGAATTAGGAATTAGCTTGTGGTAATGGTTGCACAGTTCTGGAAATATACTAAAAAAACACTGACTGGGACACTTTAAATGGTAAATTGCATGGTATGTGAATTCTACGTCAATAAAGCTGTTAAAAACGTGCTATGAACAAAATAAAACTGATGGATGGATCACATCTTTGTTGAATAATTGTTATAACAGGAATTGATTCTGATTAAAATAGCTTCAGTAAAATATAAATGAAAAATGTTGACAACAGTTTAACTGTCCTGCATAGCAAACTGATCAAGGAATCAAATGGGTTTGATGGGGTTTGCTCTGGAAAATACCTGTACAATGCAAATTCATCACTGTGAGTACAATTCTGATTTAAATGTCTGTATTCACAATGATAGTGCTTGAGTCAAAAGCCCTATTTGCCACCCCTCCCCTGCTCTGCTGAAGAGTCCCAGCTGGGCTGCTTTGCTGGTCCTGGGCTTCAGGACATTGGGGAATCCAGTCCAGTGGGATTTCAACAGTGCTCACCTGGCTTGGCAAAGCGTTTCTTACGCCTCATTTTGGCCCGGTGTCCAGCAAACAGGACACTGATCCTCTTAGTCCAGGTTGCATGACTGTCAGTGTCTGCAACCCCGCAGCGGGGACGTGTCATCTGGAGCAGCGTGGCCTGGTCCAGCACGCCACTGATAGGCAGCCGGGACACCCACTGGAACTCTCTGCCAGGAGAGATTGAAATAGAGGACCACAGAGCAGAGGTGGGTGACAGGGATGAGGATGACCTTCTGGGGACACAGCCAGCCAGCCTCGTGGAAGGAGGGACAAGCGAGTCGGAGCTTTGCACCCTGCACCCTCAGGTCCCCCTACCTGAGGCCTCCATCCTACCTGAGGGCATTGCTGAATCGAGTGGAGGCTGGAGCTTTGGAGACCTGTCCTTTGAGATAGCCATACTTCTCCAGGAATGCCTAGGGGAGAGAGGAGTATCAGCCCTTGCTGTCATGCAGCATCTGTACCCTCCTCTGGTATGCAAGGGTCTGGGACGCCAACAGCTGGCCCTGTCCCTCTGCTTGTCCCAGAAGGTCAAAAGGACCCAGTTCCAATCCACCTTTGGCTAGCTGGATAGTTCAGACAAGGCACTCAATATTTTCAAACAGGTGGCTTCCTTATCATCTTATAGCCTTGTTAGAAATCTAAGTCATGCTGGAGTCGGGCTAGCCTGGGTTGAATTCACTATTGGAAAATGGACTTAATTACTATTAAGTACTTTCTCTACTTTCTATAAGGACTAATCACACTAGCACTTATAAAGTATTTAACACAGTCCTATCATTCCATACAGAGTAGCCATTATGTGTCATGTAAATATACCCTATTCATTCACATCAAATTTTCTCTGAAACACCTAACCTGTTCTAGAAAATGCTCAAGTATTGAACAGGAGCTGATCAGGTGCTGGCTCTACCTTGTCTGGGTTGGGAATTCTCTCCCCAATTCTGGTTTCTTCCTAAACAATTCTCCTCCCCCAAACTGCAAACATATTTAAGGCCCTCTGACCATAAATGTACCTACCCTCGAACTTATAACTGATATAAAAATGTGACTTTCCAGAAATGTGTATTCTGAATTAGAAACCTGCACCCTCCTTCTTCCATTCATTCATTTGTGAATCCTAAAGGAGTCTACACACTAGTGGATAGAAACAGGCAATAAAAACATAGGTAACAAACAGAGAAGATGAATTGGTGCTGTGAAGAACTGGGTGATGGGATTGAGACTAGCTCAGAAACTTTGCAATCAGGAGGTCAAGGAAGGACACCGTAGGATCAGGATCAAATACTGGGTCTGTGTCCTAAAGATTGAGACACAGGCTGGGCAACAGTGGCTCATGCCTGTAATCCTAGCTACTCAGGAGGCAGAGATGAGGAGGATGGAGGTTTGAAGCCAGCCCTGGGAAATAGTTCAAGAGACCCTATCTTGAAAAATACCCAACTCTAAAAAGGACTGATAGAGTGGCTCAAGCGGTAGAGCACTTGCCTAGCAAGCATGAGGCCCTGAGTTCAACCCCCGGTACTGCCAAAAAAAAAAGACTGAGACACAGCTAGTCATGCAGTGAGGTGGGTGGGAAAGGGCATTCCAGGCAGAGGGAACAGCAAATGCAAAAGCTTTGCCTTAGGAATGACATAGGGCTCTTTAGGGACCAGAAGGAAGCACAGTAAGTGTGGAGATGAAGTCAGAGGCAGGACTGTGGGCCAGGGTAAGAAGTGCAGGTTAATTTCAGTCTTGCTGTTGGATTAATCGTGTGGAGCAATAGAAAGGAATTTCAGATGGCTCCTAACTTTCCTGAGGATGCCTGAGGGGGACAGTTGGAGGCTGGTGTGAATGCTGCACATGGCGATGTGGAAGTGGTGCTGGTTGTGAGATCCTGGAACTCAAGGTAGCAGTCACAGTCTTTCAGCACGGAGTTTAAGTAAAGCCTGGACCTGGCTGAGACCCTCTGGGGAAATTAATATCATCAGAGGCTGTCCCCTGGTCCAGGGCCGTCACTCTCTGCCTGCCTCAAATACCTACAAGCTGCTCTTCAGGACAGAGTTCTCTGAGAGAGGAGTGGGGCTCATTACCCTCACCTGTCGTCAGTCTTAACCTTTGGAAGCTCATGCACGTGACTTTCTGCTTGCGTCTCGCTGACAAAGCCCCATAAATGAAGTCACCACAGCTGCTTAAATTTAAAATAGGCATAATTCTCTCTTAATTTTTACCCCTCCTTGTTGTGTTATCTCTAAAGAAATAATTTCCAGTTTTCCTTGTTCTCCCACCCTCATTTTTCTTTCCTCCTCCTCCTCCTCCTCCCCCTTCCCCTCCTCCTCCTTCTCTCTCTCCTCTCCCTCTCCCTCTCCCTCTCCCCCTCTCCCCAGGGTCTCATTATATTACTCCACATTGCCCTTGAACTCACTAAGTAGCCCAGGCTGGCTTTGATTGTGATTGTCCTGCCTCAGCCTCTGAGTGCTGGGCTGGATTACAGGAATGTTCCACCAAGCCCAGCTTTTTTTTTGCTATATGTCTTAACTCAAAGTAATTCCAATCATAGCTGCTACCTCAAGGAAAACCCACAACTGGGAATGAAAGTAAGCACTCAGAGAACTGGCAAGTCTTTTCAAGTGTCCAGCTTCCTCTTTTTTTTTTTTTTTGTAGTACTGAACTCAGGACCTCATGCTGTCTAGGCAGGTGCTCTACCACTTGAGATACTTCTTCAGCTCTTTTTTGCATTGCGTATTTTCGAGATAGGATCTCTTGAACTATTTGCCCAGGCTGACCTCGAACCTCCACCCTCCCAATCTCAGTCTCCCAAGTAGCTAGAATAACAGGCATGAGCCACTGGAGCCTGGCTCAGCCTCCTCTTTGTGGATTTCATTTATATCCATCTTCCACTGAAGGCCTCTCCATAAGAAACCCTTATTCTAGACTGCAGAACATTTTGAAGTCCATCTTACTGTTTTTCTGTATTAATTTATTATTATATCAACACTATTTTATCTTCTTTCCCTTTGTAAGTATACAGTTTTCAGATGCATAATGGATTAAAGGGGTTCTAATGCTCAATGTGACATCATGAAAAAGTCACAGGGTTTGTAATTGAGCTTCTGTTCCCAATCCTGACTCTGCATAGGTGGCTGGGCCTGGTACACAGCAAATGTTCAATAAACTGTGGTCTCATTATTCGCCTGAGGGGAAAATGAACCACAGACTTTGGAACACAGCCCTCCTGTAACACGGGAAGTGCTTTAATAAAGCAGGAACATCTCCGTTCTCAGTTCTCAGGCACTTCCACCTGGCACTTGCCAGACCTCAGCCAGTGCTTGCCCCGGCCCCCTTCCTTCCACCTCCCAGGATGGACAGGAGGACTTTCTAAGGAAGCCAAGAAATTAATGTCTCCTGAGAAGCAATTTTGCTGGGCGAGTGACTTGGGAAACACCAGGTTACAGGTCAACCTGGCTGGCAGGACCTTGTTCCTCTCCCCACAACCTCACCCAGCCCTTATCAGGGAGTTGCCTGGCACTCTGGAGCTGTGAGCCCAGGACAGAGGCGGAGGAGGGGAAATGTCTGGCAGCCTCTCCTATTTCCTGGCTGGGCTGCAGCTTCAAGTCATCGGGTACTCTGGAAGGCAATGTGGGGTGGCCGTTTCAGGGGACTGTTTCAGGGGAAGTGCTGGGCTCTGGGACCCAGTAGCACCCTGGCAGAACTGAATTCTCAGAAGGCAGAGTGAGCATGTGTCCAGGGCACCAGCCAAGCCGAGGCATGGAAAGAACGAAAAAAAAAAAAAAAGGCATTTTAAGAATTTGACATTTTGTATTTGCATAAAAGCACTGAAGTATACAATGAGGATTATCAGGATTTATGGACTGTCAAGCTTATGCTTAATATGCATATATTTCAATTTTTTTTAAAATGGCACACAGGAAGGGGACCCTTACTACTGTCAGGACTGAGTGCTCTGAAGTTCTGGGGGATGGGGGTGGCAGGGTTAGACCCCTTCTGTCCCTGGACCTGACCCTAACACTCTTCTGGGAGCCTATTTTTCTGTGTCCCAGTTTCCTCTGCAAAGGCAAGAGAAATGCTCCACCCCACATGGCAGGGAACAGGGGTGTGGGGCAGAGGCAGCTACATGGCTGAGGATCCCAGAAGAGACTGGGGGACTCCAGCCCTCATCCCTTTGGGGCATCATTTCTCATCTTGGTTTTGGGCTCCTGGGGACTTGTCCTGTGTGTCTTAGGGCCTCTGAGCTCTGCCCAGGCCTGCCCCTCTTTACCAGGCAGTGCCTGGGCCATTCCTCCTACCTTGGACGTTCAAGTTCATGGTTTTCCTCCCGCCCTTTCTCCTGGGCAGCCCCAGGCTAGAGCTGAACCAAGAGGAAGCTGGAGGCTGTGGCCCTTAGGTGAGTCACCTTGCTCAGGCCTAAATCCTGAACCAACACGCCTCGCCCTCTTGGGTAAGGATGGGGCCACTTTCCTGGGGAGTGGCCTCTGAAAGTCCCTGGGAGTGGCTGTGGTGTCTGGGTGAAATGAAACATTTTCCCAGGACTAGCCAGTAAGGTGCGACTGCCACTCTGGGGGTTCTAGTCTCCGTCCTGACTTGTCCTGGGAGAGTGTGTACAGCCCAGCCCATTTAATGCCCCAGGGAAGGGCCACTTCTGGGCAGAGCAGGACTAGCAAGGAAGGAGGTGTACCAAAATGAATCTTAGGGCTGAGTCAGCCACTGGACTGGCAGGGCATGAGCACAGGATTGAAGGTCTTGAGCTTTACTCCTGATGCTGCTGCTGTGTCCTGAGGAATAACCTCTTTGAGCCTCAGTTTCCTGTTCTATAAAATGGGGGGATTGGATTAGAGCCCTAATATCTATCCCAGCTCTATCTATTATTGTAGTCTTGCTTCTGTAACTGACTAGATATGTGACCTATGACAAAGTTACTTAACCTCTCTGTGCCCCAAAGCAGAAACTAAAGGAAAGAACACACTTGACTTTTCTCACAGTGGCATCATGAAGGTTCAATGAGATGCTCTGGGAAAGCTTTATGACACTTGTCCTATGAAAAATGTTTTTTAAGAGAGATGACACTGTACTACATGGTTTGTGTAAAGGACTGGGGTGTTATAAGCATTAAATAACTTCACATATCAACAGCTAGAGTGCTCTCCGTATATAAGAAATTAAGACTTCATTTAAAATACTTTCTGTTTAACTAGAAAGGACATAGATGCAGGGGTAGGATGTACAAGAGAACAGGCTCAAGAGAAGGGTAGATCTGGGTTCAAATGCCAGCTCTGCAGCACGTTAAACCCTCTTATCCATGGGGGGATACTTTATAAGACCCCCAGTAGATTCCTGAAATCTTGGATATACGAGACCCTATACATACTGTTTTTCATACATATACATATCTGTGACCAAGTTTAATGTATGAATTATGCAA